TATTTCTGATATCTCTTGACAGGCATTCTGTCTTGTCTGCTGTTATTCTGCCAGTATCTTCAGTGCTGATTCCTTCCATCCATCAAGAGCTTTCCCTCTTTTGGAAGACACAAATAGATGTGCAGTTTAGGGGTTAATAGCCACTAAAATTAACATACTCTCAAAACCATAAATAACTTGTTCGGAAAATTTGAATAGCTAACTTAGGGAGGAAATCAAGTTCCACATATTTAACTTCAGCATTGTTAATCAGGACATTTGAAAGAAAATTAATATTTTCCCAGAGATTAAAAGCAACTTCAGTCTTTTTGAAAATCAGGGGGGTTTATTAATTTCAGTTCTGAGTGAAATGAGACTGGTAGAACTAACTGGAATTGGCATAATGAGTGCAAATTCTGAAATGCTTTTGCAGAGCAGTTTTGTTATCTTGCCATGTAGTTTCTCTGGTATTTCAATAGACACTTTTCAATAGGCACAACAGAACACTGTTGATAGTACTGAATAGTTCTAAATTATGATTTGAGGATGTTAAATTCTGACTACTTGTAGCATTGCACATGAAAAATTTGAGCATCAAATAAAAGCATCACTCTAGTGAAGTGGCAGAAGGTTTTTGTACAGAATGATGAATTATGTCCAATATTTAAAACTAGTCTATTCCATTACTTGTGTCTCTCTTCACTCTGAAGTTCTTTTTTTCCCCGTTTCTGTCATTGAGGTACAGACAGGTACTCTGCTTGTGCCTTGGAAAGTGATTGCAGGATTCAGTGGCACCGCACATGAAGGAGCAATAACTGACAGATGCACAGGAATTCCTGTGCCAGATCAGACTAATGGTGCACACAGTTCAGCACCTTTTCTCCCAGAATCACACAGTTCTGGATACCTGTGCGTCTGCATCTGATGGGTTTGCACCTCAGCATTTAGGAGGCCTGCAGCCAGCGCTGTGACAGTCCCTCTGAAGTGTCTGTCATTCCAGGAGAACACAGAAGGGGCTCTTCCACTGAAACAGGCATTTCTCACACCTCTGGGGCACAGTGAGCCTGATGCACTCTCTGGGTTTGCTGCTGGCTGCTCACACACACCTTGCCTTCAGTTTTGTACCTCAGGCTCTCAGTTGCCACTCCTCACTTTAATCAGCTACCAGGGCATGCCAGAAATTGTGGACATCACAAAGGTTTCCTCCTTTGTTTCTTCACATCACACATTCTGAGCTTGCTGATGCATCCCCACCTTTTTTTGATAGAATCATGGGCTGTACCTGCCAGCAACATTGTTCTGCTGGAGTTTGGAAATATAGTTATATTTTTAATTAAAGGAACTGTTAATGCCTCCTGGTTTAAAGAGATGTCTAACATGTAGAATAGAAAAAAAAATCAAACTGGAGAAAGCAAAAACGCAGCTGTGGCCACACAAGACATCATAAGCACTTTTTGGTGGTGTGAGCTCAGAGATGGCACCTGGTGAGGACTGTCTCTCTCTTGCATGGCCTGAGGTAAAGAATGAGGTGTTCAGCACCACCGAGTTCCAGTCCTGCCTTTAAATGTGTGGCAAACTGTGCTGCTGCCAGTTCTGCAGGGAAAGCCAGTGTGTGTGTAGGTGTGGCTGAGGGGGTAAATTTCATTTCAAGGGCTCATCTCTGAACAATTCTACAAGCTAAGCAATGTGAACCTAATATTATAATTCCAAGGGGACTCTTATGCTGTGTGGTAAAATTGCTTATTAAATTACAATCACAAAAAAAAAATCAGGAGATAGGCACCGTTCAGCTGGCAGCATACAGGGAAAAAAGGCTGAATTCTAATTATTTGAACAGTGGAGTTAGTGTTATTTCACTGTGTGAAAACAAAATTAGGTTATCACTGATATCATTATTAATGTATGAGATGAAGCAGAAAAACAATTTGTTTCCTAACACCCATTCTGCCACTCCTCCCCACCCCTCCCGCAAAAACCAAAAAAAGAGAAAATAACCTAAAAGCAAAAAGGGCTTTCTAACACAGGCAGCTCTGAGAGATCTCATTGCTATAGCAGCAAAATGTAGATTATTTATAAATTATCTTAATTTGAAGGTGAGGCATTGTGCAAACAGTAAGTATTACATTTATTATTTCCCCAGTTAGATTAAAATATAAAAAGGCATATCCAATATCAGTAACACTGTTTATTACTCTAATCAGAAACAGGAAATATATTTTCAGCCACTCTAAACCTTAGGTGTTCTTTTATTATGCATGAGCAGCTATTACTACTGTTCAGTCACACATGTTCCTTAAGGTACTCATATTGCAATCTCCACCTTTTGAATGCCTTTCAAATAAATAAAACAACTTTTTTGCATAAAAATATATTCTACAACCATAATTAAGTATTGAAATTCACATTTTTATTAATATAACACATTCATACATGAGATGAATCCATTGTAAAAATTTTAGAGGTTTTTAGAACCAGCACAAAAGTGTTTTATTTTACATTACAACTCTGAACACATCTTATGCCCTTGAATGTGAACTGCCTTGAATTTTGTTAAGATTCTGTTCTTCATTCTCATTTTCACACTCAATGAGCCGCTACTGTTTCAGTCCAAAAGGGATCAGTCAGTGAAGCTGTGTCATGAAAGTAGTTATAGAGTCTGATAAGATTCTTTAAAACTCATTTTTATTTTGCCAGGAGTCACAAATCTAGCTGCAAACACTGCTCAAGATGTGCCCTCTCTTTTGAGTATAATTTGAGAATACAAAATCGGATTTAAGAAAAGGATACAGTGTAAAGATAGTTTTCCTATTATGCTATCCATACTATGTTAATATATACATTAAAAGTAAAATCTATAAATATCCAAATGCCTCTGATTCATGTGTATAATTTGGTCTTTACCTACAACTAGATACTTAATTATTAACATAAGAATTTCATTAAAATTAAAAAATTATAAATTATTAATAAAACTCTCCAAAACAGGAATCTTTCTGAGGATGGAATTACATAAGTCTGGTGATAAAATTTTTATAAGTAAAGAACTAAACCTGATCCCGTGGAAAGGACAAGGCCCAGAATTCTGAGGTGTGAAGAGACATTTTTGAAGTATCTTTTACAGTTAGACCCTAAAACTCTCTGTTTCTCAGATGCATCCTTTTGCTTTGTGTAAGGTGCATATTTGTGGCATTGAATAGCTGATTTTTCCACTACCTCAGGGAGCCTGGTCTTTCATATTCCATGAAAAGACCACTGAAACCAGACTGGGAGATCAAATACCAAGTGCTCTTAACCAATTTCTTTAGAGGATACAAATAAATCTTTCCTGGAGAAGAGACAAGAAATCAGCCTGGCCTTTCCTTGGAGAACTTCCTGTTACAACTCTCTTTTGTCCCCCTGTTTCTTCATTCACACTCCCAAAAAGCATTTTTAATTGCTTCTCAAGTGGAACAGCTGTACCAGGAGGGGACCAAGAGCATCACACACTGCAGTGCTGGTGAGGGCAGGTGGCAGCAGGTGAGGCACAAAGTCTTTTGCATCTCTGATGTGCCAGATGAGGGATCTGACCACCAGGATAATGGATAAATAAAAGGCAGCTAGTGGAGGTACTTGGGCAAAAATACAAAAAATACCTTATTAGTGCTTAGATCAGTGAGTGATTTACCACATGAGAGGAAGCAAAGGTTTTGAAAAAGCAGCTGCAAAAGATGTAAAAATGTCCAAAGGACATCTTGGCCACTGTCATACAACATAAATGTTAACCATGCATTTTCCATCAGCAAGGAGAGCTTGGCTGAGCGGCACATCCCCACAGACACAGAGCCTGGATTTGGAACAGTTTATTGGTAGAACAAACAGCTTTTCAACCAGCCAAAGTCAGGCCTCAACAAGTCTCAGATAATTTTTCATACATTCAAAGCAAATTAGCAGAGATTTACATACTTGTTTTTAACTGTGGCCTCTCTTCATTGCCAAATGGATGTTCTAGTTCATTTCCTCTTTTGTTTCAATCAGAAATACAATTATAACACTGAGCAGAATCTATTACTGCTTGTTGAAAGCAGCTACTGCTGAGTGAGCTCAGCTCTACTGACTGCCTCCTTCTACCATCTAGTGGCACTTTCACTATACTGCTTTTCTCTCTCCAAAGGGTTCAGTGAAAATGATAATAAGTGTACACTCTTGAAAAGAAAAAAATAGACTTTTGAAATGAACAATGTACCTGCAGAGGAAATACTTTTTTTTTTTTTCTGAGATGGAAAAGTAGTTTTCACACAGAAACTATTTATGAGAAAATAGAAGGGCTTCAGTGGTGTAAAGTACTCATGTCAGAGAAAAATTCTGCATCCTGTGGTCTTGTAAACAGTAAGTTAGGTTTGTTGATTGATTGATTTCTCTTTTTTTGTGGTGGGAGAGCTTGGATTTTAAGTTGTAAGCTGCAGAATGACACTATCAAATATCCTAAAGAAATGCCTATTTAGAAGCACACTTGGTTTGTTTTCTACCTGGATATTTAAAGGGCACAACGAAAAGTAAAATATATCATCAACTGTAATGCTTTGAAGGCATATAGAACACATATAGTTTCTTTCCTGATTACACAGTTTTACTGAGAGCTTTCAGTGCTCCGTTTTGCAATAGATGTTTCTGTCTCATTTAGGGAAAAAGCTTAAATGTCAATGAACTAGGAATTTAAGGCTTGGGATGTTTTTCATCAAAAAGCATGTTCTGATTATTTATATGACTGAACAAACATTAATCATCTCAAATGCTTTCTCCTCTTTGAACTGGGTTGTTTTCAGAGTGCAGGTATTGGTGAATTAGACTACATATAATTTTTTTTTTTTAATTCCATAAAAAGGCATATTTCTTCCTTTCCACTTACAGCGAATTGACACGGCAAACTGACGGAAGTCAGAACGTAGAATATCAGAATCCAGAGGTTTTTTTTTTCCTTTTCTTTTAAAACATGTGTTATTCTATATCCTCATCACCTTGACAAGTTTTCAACCTGTTTGCAGGGTGGGAAGATCCCCATCAGGTGGACAGCTCCCGAAGCCATCGCTTACCGCAAGTTCTCCTCAGCCAGCGACGCCTGGAGCTACGGAATTGTCATGTGGGAGGTGATGTCCTACGGAGAGAGGCCCTACTGGGAGATGTCCAACCAGGATGTGAGTGCTGCCCAGGATTTATCTGCATCCTTTTCAAATGTGCTTTAAAAGTTATTGCCACTCCCTGCCCTGCTTTGCTGTCTCGTTCTCTTTCCAGGCTGTAATCTCAATTAAAAAAAAAAAAATTCTTCTAGTATAATTGAAAGCTTGCTAAAAAGAAATATGGGAAAGGGGAAATGGTAGGGGTTTTTTCTTTACCACAGTTGAAATTTTCACAAATTCCCTTGTTTGATGGATCCCTGTGACAGCTCAAACTGGTGCACTCAGTCTTCACACCAGCCATCAAGCTCTGTGTCAAAATGTGGAATATCAGCCAAGCCACCTTAACCTCTCTCATATATATGCCTAGAATATTCCTGTGTTGGTTCTGAAGAATTGACGAGACTTTCCCAGATGGCTGTTTTCACATTGTTGCTAAGTTATTCAACTGTTCAAGTCTGGTTGCTTGTTAAGGCTGATCGGTCATTTGGGGATAAGGATCTGAGAGAGATTTTAATTTTAAAAAATAATTTCACTGTTTCAGGAAGAAAAGGAAAGAAACAACCAAACCTGTCAGGAAAAAAAAAGACTATCACAAACCTCTCCATTTAGAGTATATTAAATACTCAGCTACAGCATGAAGATAGCAACATTTAATTACTCTTGCATCCAAAATGAAAATGTCTGTTAATACAAAATGATGCTGCAGGCCCTAATGATGCCAGTTGCTGGGGGCTTTCCCTGCAGTTCAGCAGTTCCCAGCACAAAGGACTCCTTTTCTCCTACCCAGAGGATTTCAGTGCCAGAATGTGAGCAGTGAGCATTTGTGACCTTCTACATATGTTTAGTGGCTTCAAGTGTCATTGGGAAATTTCAAGTTATTAGACATAATGTAAAGTTTATTTTACTGGATATTGGGACCCTTCTTTTAGTACAGTAAATTGCCCTGAATTCACCTGGGTTTATTTTGCAGAAATAATAGGACTTTCAAAGGTCAGTGGTACCGTACAGATGGCAGGGAAAGCAACAGAGAGGGATGTGCACTAAACAGATTCAAAAAAGACACAAGATGCAAACAACAGTTAATAAGGTCTTGCATGGGTATAGTCAGAGGTTCTGCTGCATCAGAATGTCTGCTGACATTACCATTAAGACACTGAGTTTTGACCATAATAAAGCCCTTCTCTAGATAGCAATTAAAATATTTTTTGAATTGGGTGGATTTTGGTAGATCACCATAAGTTTTCCAAGTATAAACTCTGCAAAACCAGGTTTGGTTTGGGGTTTTTTTCTCATTCCATCTTACCAATTAATTTTCTAATTATACAGCTTTGGAAAATGAACTCACTTTTTTTTTTTAGACCATGGCTAAGTAAGTGATGAACACAGCTGATGAGAGAAGTTTTAATCTAGTAGGTGCCACCTAAATAAACCCAGTCTGGTGTTCAGAGACTACAGCTGCTCACAGGTATCCAGAATGACTCAACACCTCTGCAAATCCAGCATCTTCTATTTATACTCCCCAGCAAGGATTTGGAAGCTGAACTTAAGGAAACCGAGTTGCAAAATGCTACTCATAAAATTAATACTGTACATAATAAATTTAAGCCTCTGCATAATGCAGAGGCTTAAAAATGTTGCTAAGTTTGAGAATTGCTCTTGTGTAAGTAAATAACCATTTTATTATTGTGGTAAGTCACTTCCAAACTGTGTTGGTGCTGATTAATGCACTTCTTAGATGTGTGGCAGGCACCAGAGGTGTCCATTAATTAGGGCTGCTGCACAGTCTGTCGTGTCTTATTGCTTAATTAATAAACATTAGCCAAGATATTGAACTTTCCAAGGAAACTAGTGTACTGATGAACAGATTGTGCTAAGAGTCTGGCTTGCTGATGTTCATGTGAGGGAAGGAAGATTTATATTCCATGCATTTGGTTTGTAGAACAGCTGTGAGTGAAGCCTACTGGGACACCTGTTTGAGGCCACCATATAAATTAATGCATGTTGCAGAGCTGCAGTACTCAAAAAGATGGAAAAATTGAAAAGAATATTTAATGGGTTGTAATTGGTATGCAAGGAAACTACTGTAGCAAACAGAATAAAACTCCTTACACTCCTGAAAGTTTCTTGTAATACTGAAAAAAACCAACTTATCCTAATATAGCCCTTTCAACTCACAGATATCAAAACACTTGGCAGGCGCCTGGGATTGGCTCTGTACCATGAGGCAGCAGCAGCTGCCTCTCCCTCCTGGTAGATTTTTCAGATGTCAGGAGGACACAGGGACAATGTCCCTCTGGACTCTCTTCTGTCTCAGTCTCATTAAAAAAGCTGTCAGTTAACTTTTGAAAGCAAGAAACCCTGTTACTATTAATAATGAAACTATCAGGAAGATTACAGCTTCATTTTCAGATGGCATTTTCACTGGTTGCCAATTATTTTGAAATTGCACATGTATAAATTTTGTGTAGAAGTCCATAACATACTGCTCAGGCAATCATAACAAATATTAACTCTGTTAATATTCAAACTTCATAGCTATGTCAAACATCACACAAGCTGTTGCTGTACCCTTCCTGTAGATGCAGATTTAATAACTGATGTGGTGTTTTGTCAGCCTTAAACTGACAAGGGAAAAAGGCATTTGAGAGGAGTTAACATGCAAAATCTTCACATGTTTTATAATGCACAACTTTATATTACTAAGAAAAACTTAATACTTCTTCCCTTTTAGGTACATTGATATCTGATTTCTCTGAACAGAGAGAGATGGGTGCTATGTACATGGCAGAGCAAGAGCTAAAACAAATATATAAATAAATGAGGAACTAAAATGCTCCAATTCTTCCTTTGAGACTTGATTCCCATTGCAGTATTAGACACTTATCGCATCTTTACTCTTGCTTCTTAGAATCTAAAAATAATACTTGCCTCACAAGGGATACTAATGAGGCAATATTTCCAGTTTATTTTTTAAATGTGCTGGTATTAATGAGAAATTATAATTATCCCAGTACCAGCTGGCATTTCTCTTCATACTGAAATGTTCCTTTTGAACAAGAGAGGAAAAAAAATGCACTGTGACTTCATTTTCAGAGATATGTTAAAATAAAGTGTGGCAGAGAAAATATATCTGGAAAATTATGGTTGCTTTTGGGTTTTTCCTGAATAAATTACTTCAGCAAAACCTCATCAGCCCTCTATTGTTGTGTTGAGCAAATGCTATATGTCTCTGAAAAGTAGAGCAGCTTTCCTGTTGCCTTAAAAACAAAATACATTTCATAAATTCCACATTTGCAACAGGCAAAGTTAAATGTAAAAAATTTCAGTATCTGCATTTCTGGGCTGCTAAGGATGGCCAGTACCAATTAAGCTCTGCCCTTCTCTGTCAGGAGGGTTTTATGAACCCACTTCTGACAAACTGCTTCAGATACACTAATAATAAATGGAAAAACAAATGTGAATAAAATTCCATTCATGTGGTTGAGTTTTGCCCATCCTGAGTCCATGGGGGCATTTTTTTCACTGGGAGGAAAGGTTCTGAAGGAAATACTTCCCTGGCAATGGAATGGTGGTATTTTTTCCCTGTAACATCAGCATGTACATTACAGGACCAGGTCACCTGTGTTTATAAATGTGTTACCAAACACATTTTCTGTGAGCAGCTACAAAAGGCTCGTTCCATTTCCTGCCATGCCATCAAGGGGAGCTCAGGTCCTAACGTGGCTTCCTTACTCTTATTTTATTTACATAATGCTTGCAGCATAAGCATTAGGCATTGCTGAGCAGAGCCAGCATTAATTCAGAATTCCAATAGAGAACGGGGATATATTCCAGGATAATAAGATTGAATATATTGAAGCCAGAGCTGGTGCTGTAAAACACTGATTTGCTGTAAACAGTTTAATGTAACCCCTTCCAGCTGCATTAATACGTCTGTAGCATGTACATACATCTGTGTGAAAATGATGAATGTCTCCTTGCAGCACAGTGGGTATCAGTGCAGCAGGTATGTTCCTCCTAAGTGCACTGTGTGCTTATGAATATTGTGTGCAATCATTTGTACATTAGCAAACATTTAGCATTGGCTGGATTTTTACGTGGGAGGGTTATGCATGTGTGGCAAGGCTGGTCTTTTTCCTAGCTTCGATTTTGATCAGCCACTGACTAGTTTTGCATTCCTTTTTGCACAAAAAATAATCCTGACTGTAATTTGTAACATCATCCCCACTGCTAGCACCACTGCAGAACCTCCTGACTTTCCTTTGTGTTTTTTAAACCTTACATAGGATGAATCCCTGTAAGCTGTTATGAAGCTTTCCATGGAATTCACTTAGTTTTGCTAACTCCTATCAAGCCAGGCTGCTACTCTTCCTTTCAATCAATGTTTTTTTGCTACCCATGTTACTAGAAATAAGCTTTCCTTCGACTTGGATCAACATGTCATTTACACGATTTTCATACATGTGATTTACCTGCAGCAGCAGACCTTTCCGTTTCTTTCTGAATCTTTACCAAACACATTTTCTGTATCTGCTGAATCTGAAGGTCTCATTCACTTTAGGATAATACCATAATTTTATTAACTTTTGTTTAGTCACAAACATCTCAGACATCCAGGTTTCTGAGGGAGAGTGCAAATTAACATTGCTGTAACTTGGTGTGTGTGACATTGCCAGAAGTAATCATACTCTGAGGATCAGCAGAAACATGTGAATACCAAGTAAATTGTCAGGTTCCACAATCTGTATTTGTGGTGCTTGACTGTTTTGGGGTGTTGCTGCATACAAACACTGTGTCAAAATGCAAATATTAGAGCATGGTGGGTTGCAGTGGCCACACCAAGTAAGTTGTGGCCGCCTGAAGTGGAAAGGGATGGTGGTATTGCTGAATTCTTTATTCCCCTCCTGCTTTCTTAGCTGTTTGAAGAGGATGACCAGTGACCCTAAAAAAGTTCCTACTGTGTTTCATATGCCTACAAAATATTTCCTGTCTCCTCTGGCCACACCCCTGCCAGTCCTGATTCCCTGAGTGAAGCCCAGCAATGCATAAAGTGAGGGTGGCTGTGCCTGGATAATTTATCATCCCTGGTTTCTAATTGTCAGTGTCACACTGTCCTTTCAGCATTTAATGCCTGGTAACCATACAGACTGTATTTCTGTAGGTTATACTGTCCATTGAAGAGGGCTACAGGCTTCCAGCTCCCATGGGCTGCCCAGCTTCTCTTCACCAGCTCATGCTTCACTGCTGGCAGAAGGAGAGGAACCACCGTCCCAAATTCAGTGACATTGTCAGCTTCCTGGACAAGCTGATCCGCAACCCCAGCACCCTTCACACCCTCGTGGAGGATGTACTTGTGTAAGACCCTTTTGTTACATTCTGTTTTTTTCATAACACATAGTGGCTATCATTATTGGTTTAGAGTATTAAGTAAGGGTGGGAGAACCACAAAGTTCTGAGTTCATAAAATCATACAGGTTCAAATGATTTTAAGCCCCTTTTAAGGCTTGCTTTATTGTTAATACACTGTTGTACAAGGTTTTTTTCTCAAGCCATGCAGATTATATTAGGCTTTTTTAGTATTATTTTCATCTGAATTCTGTTTGTGCACTATCTATCCTTAATCTTTCTGAATCTCTTTGTTCTTTTTTGTATGTGTGTGTGTTTTTCTATGTGCTTGTTTTCTCTTTGTAATTTTTTTTCTCCATTCAGCAGCCTGTCTCTCCATCTGACAGTGCTCAAGCAATTTGTGAACTGCCTTGGAGTAATATCCTGCAGCAAGTAGCTGTGTCTTAGCTTGCTAAATCTTTATTTGTCTGCAGCAGAATGGCAGCAGTGACCAAATAACAGACTACACTGTTAACCACCCCAAACAAATTCTTGATAGTGTTGCCTGGGTTTTGGGTTTTTTTCATTAATGATATTTCAGAAATGAATGCAGCCACAGGATAAGCAAGGCTGAGGTGGAAAAATGTGTCAGTATTTGTAGGCTTATTGATCCAAGCTGTCCCTGCATATATCAGCTGAAATCAGCAAAGGTCCAGGTGGCCTCACTCTCTTCAGTCTCTAAGAATCATTTTAAGATAAAGGTGCTTTCATGGAGACCCCATGGGCTTTTAAGGGGTGCTGAAGCCCTGAGTGGGGCTTGCTGAGAACCTTTAAATTTTTTTGACAAGGGCTGAGCAACAATGCAAAATTGCTGTGGGAAAGGCTGAATGGAGAAGTTGGTAGGAAAACCTGGAGTGAGGGCTACAGCCATTTCATCAACATAGACTAGGGAGACTTGTGGGATTAAATATCCATGCCCTAGAGTTAGTGTCCTGTATGTATGTATGCATATAAATATAAATAAAAATATATAAATATATATATATATATATGACTTGCTATTTTTGCCTGGATCACTTGCTTTAGCATCAGAGTGATGTATTTTTATCTCTTTTATTTAAATCATAACTTAGGGCCTAAAAAACTTATGCTTTATTGAACTATGACTTCAACTGCTTGTGAAAGTTTTTTTCCATTCATTTGAGAATGCTTGAGGCAGTTGCTGGGTAACCTTCTATAGAATCATGGAGTAATTCAGATGGGAAGGGACTGTGGTAGGTCTTTAGTTATAGTTTGTACTTAACAGTGTTCTCCTGTCCTTCAGCTTCTCCCTCTATCATTTTGATAATATGAATGAAAATCACTGTTTTTACTGTATCTGAGTATGTGTGGGTGAAATTTGGTTCATTAAGATATGAGGCTGTGTTGCTTCCTACATTACACATGAAGTCATGTTCCATCAGTAAATGTTGGCTGGCTTTTGCTGTCTAAATTTTCATTTACAATAAATTGTGTCTTTCTCCTAAAGACTATCATAAAGCTTTTACAAACAGCAGTGTACCTTTTCTGCATTTTGTTCATACAATTTCTCTACACAAAATGCATAAAGCCAGTGGAAGATATGAGCCCTCCCAAATGTGGCACACAACAGAAGACTGGAAATCACTGCCCCAAAATGGCAATCTGTTTTTTGGGTTTTTTTAATCTTTCTGATTCAGTTGTGATAATATTAGGGGAAAGAACTCAAAAAGAAATGTGACTAAATAGCTCCTTCCATTTAATTTGCTACTCTATATAATTCTATGTAAAAGCAAAGATACAACATTTTATTCTTTTGGCTTCTTTTAGGGTGAGTTTTAGCTTTTGAGTACTGTAATCAAAGTGTTCCTGTAGCATAATAGTATCACAATGAGGAGCCATCTGGGGTGGGGTGGTTGTAGGTAAATGCAAAAATCATCTCATGGTGGTTTAATTTTTTTAATTGCATCTTATTCTGCATTTTCATTGTCCTCTACATTGACTACTGTATAAAGTAATTATTATAATCCTGAACATGTAGATCTGCAAGGAGAAATTCTGGAGAACAAAAAGAAGTGCAGTGGGAGAGGCCTTTTCCTCTGTGTGTTACTGAGCTGCAGTTCTTTAATAAATTGTATTGTTTAAGTAGAGCATCTTGGCAGACAGAAGTGATTTATAAGTTTTAGACAAGAGGTTAAAGAGATCCTCAGTTAAGGTCTGACCTTTACAGCTCAGACTCCTCTCTCATTCCTTCTGCCTTTTAGTAAAAGCTATGTCTACCAAGGTAAATTGGGTGTCATATTTTGTATTGCTTGGTAACCTTTGCATTTTTTTTTGTTCTTTACAGAATGCCAGATTCACCTGGTGAAGTTCCAGAATATCCTTTGTTTGTTTCAGTCAGTGACTGGCTGGATTCCATAAAAATGGGTCAGTATAAAAATAACTTCATGGCAGCAGGTTTCACAACTTTGGACATGGTTTCAAGAATGAATATTGAGTAAGTATATAATCTATTATCCCTACAGTGACTAATTAATCTGAATTTGGATGCTGCAGGCACACAGATATTATGGAGTATGGAACAGTGCTTTCGTTTCCTTTCCTTCCTCAGCTCACAAAACACAAATACAGTTAATTAGCAAAAAACCACAAGAAATGTATGATGGAGAGACCCAGAACTGATAGATCCACTCTGTGACCACACCAAACACAACCAAAGGCCAGGGATGAGCGTGTTTCTTGGGGAATCAGTTTTGATCTAGACCACTGAAATCAAAAATAGTGGCAAAAATATTTTCTTACTTTGCTATGAATATCATCAAGACTTTATCAGTCCTATAATGAAGTTGTTCCAACCATCTCTGACACCACCCTGTGGTTTTTTAAGGCAAACTCTGCATTCAATACAGAAGTGTTTAGGCTATGGATTCATATGGTAGCATGATGATGGGATCCGTTTTGCTCTCTATTCCCTTTCCATGAATTCCCAATCTTTTATTGGATGCTGGGACTGCCTGTATTAATGGTAGCTGTCAGTTAAGACTGAAGAATTTTACATATAAAGTTGGACTGGTTTTCTCCCACGTGCATCATTTCATATTCACCTACAATGAATTCCATCTACCGCATTATGGGATAGTCACTTAGTCTTGTGAGATCCTTCCCAAACTCTGCACAGCTGCCCCTTTCCCTTCCTACCCTGAACAATTCAGCCTCACCAGCTGAGTTGTTCACCTCTTGCTCACCTGTTTTCCCAGACCATTTACTGATTTGTTGAACAATAATGTTCAACATTCTCTCAGCAGAAATCCCTGCAGATTTGTATCAATAACTGCATTGTAAAACCTGACCATTTACTGCTAACCTCCTGTATTTAAACAGTTATTCAGTCATGCAAAGACCACACTATGCTACATATTATATTATACCCTATATTACACAGAAGTTGCTCCTCATTTTCATTACAAAGCTTTTGTGAGGAATCTTCTCTAAAGCTTTTGGAAATCCAAGTGAGGTGTATCAAATGGATCATCTCCATCCACTGGAAACAAGTAATTTAATAAAACAGAACTTTTATTTGCAAAAGCCATGGTGACTCAAGCAGCTCATTTATCCAAGCATCCAGTAATTTTGTACTTTCCTGTAATTTCTCTTATGCCCTGTAATGATCACAGACTCATGGGTCTGTGGTTCCCCAGATCGTCCCTGGAAACATTTTGTCTGGCACTATGCTCCATACTTCAGGCACCAAGAAATTTTTTAACATGTGGAGCACAGCTGGTAACTCCCTCTCTCACAGCCCTGATAGTAAGTCCATTATTTCATCTTCACTTTCTTTTGGAACTTTTGCCTAAATATAATCTTCTCTGCACATGGGTTGTTGCTTGTTTTTCAGTTTTTCCTATAACCTCTCCTGCAGTCACTTCAGAGAGGTACTCTGGCAAGAACCCCAGAAAGGATCTGGCATGGGAGTCATTTCAATTTCTTCCACAGTGAATGTCAACTCAAATGGTTAAGTCTTCCAACAATGGCCACTCCTTCAGTGCTCTTTTATGCCCAAATCATTGTTAGACTCTACACATTTTATGGCAGGTGTCTTGTACCCAGTGACTTTGCAAAAAGATTTATTATCAGGTTTTTTATTTTATTGTTGAGCTTTTTTTTCTGTTTGCTCCTCAAGTTCCTTTTTAGTCTGCCTTACTGTGTGTTTACAGCTAATCTAAGGTTATTATGCTTTCTACTTGCTTTAGATACCATTCAACTTCTTGAAGAATTCCCTCTTTCTTCAAATAATTTGTGTTACACAAGACCTGCTGGATTCTTTTTGTGCTTTATCAGGCCTTCCTTGATAATTGCTAAGCATTGGTCTTGTATTTCTACGACCACTGTCCACTGTAAAGCTTTATTATTTACACTGACTCCTTTTAGCTTCTCAGGTGCTCAGTATTTTTGCTGACCTCAAGTGTTGTCTATCATGCCCCATGAGAATGTTAAACCCAAGCACATCATAATTGCAAGCTCTGCAGTGGTTCCTCAGCTGGAGGATACCAATCTGGAGATCAGATGCAGATATCTGGAACTGCACATCTGAAACTCATGAAGGCCATGCCTTATCCCATGAGCTCCTTCACTGGCTGTATCATCATATAGTTTTGGAGCATAAATAGGCAATATCTGTGTATGTCCCAGAGTGGGATTTGCATAATTGACAAATCTGGCATATCTGAAGTTTCCTGTCCTCAGCGCCTCTGTGATCTTTCTTAGATCTTGCAGCTGAGGATGTTTATAGAAAAACTAATTTGGTGGATTGTGCTGAATTCTGGTGGCTGTTGACTTCATTCCTGCCAAACAGTTACCCACTCTGGGGTGCAGGGCTAGATGAGATGAAGGGGAACTGGGAGGGAAATCAGGGTCAGTCTGGAAGAGTCACTGCTAATTTAATCTTTCGACCATCTCTCACTACGTCACTGCCATTCCCCAAATCATCAGAAGCACCACCTCTGTTATTTCTGCCTCAGAACTGTGATACTGAGTGTGTAAGCCCCAATCCTTTTCAAGTATGAGCAGGAAACAATTGCTACAATCACTTTACTGAAAATGGGCTGTTAGAACTCACATCTCTGATTAGTCCTTGAGATTTGGAAAGATTAATTGACCAGTAGTATCACTAATAAGCCCCACTATCACTAATTTATAGCACTAAGCCCCAGTGCTCTAAATACATATTTTTATTATATTTTTTCTCTTAAATTACTGTTTTTTTCAAAAATTGAAATTGACAGATACAGAAAAATCCAACATTTGCGGCTTTCTTATATGCCATGGCCAGGAAGGTAAACTGTCCTGGAGAAGAAGTCATCATATAATTATATTCTTTTGTGCACCAGAGGCTTTATTATATTTGCATCCAAGATGAAACTTTTTATCTTGCAGTGACATTAGAAGAATTGGAGTTGCACTCATTGGACACCAGAGACGAATAGTCAGCAGTTTACAGACTTTGCGGTTGCACATGATGCACATACAGGAGAAAGGATTTCATGTATGAAAGTAATAGAAGCAACTGTGTTTTGTGCCTCAGCATTTCTAAAATGGAAAAATATTCTCATTCTTCCCTCCTGCTCTTCCCAACTTCAAGAACTGCAGTCTCCAGTTCAGACTATACAAGTACTTCTATGTTAATGCTTCCAAACCGGAATTTTTAATCACACTGCACAGCTCCTCCACCAGTTCTCTGCCGATAAAATCCTGGCCTACTGCAAGACTCTTGCTACACATTGATGAATAACTCAGCATGGATGTGTAACTTTGTATAACAGTATTTGGGAAACTTTCATGGACTTACTTGAAAGTAGTAATCTATTTGGCCTGGTGTGGCTTCTTTATCGATGTATTTAGAATTTGCTGGTAGATCAAAAAGTATTTGACTTCTTTCATGTTCTGTGACCATGTAACTTCCAACACCAAATGTGCAATCAAAAAGAAGTTTAACATAAATATTTATTTTATCTCTTAATTAAATCCAAAAGTATGTGTCCTATCATTACATTACTTTCTAATAGTTTGAATGCTGGTAAGCTGGTGCCTCAAAACATTAGTATTGTTTGCAGAAATGACTGATGATTTTATGTAGTGAGTTTTCATTGTGTGAATAATTGGAAGCATAGTGAGAGTAATCTGTTTGAAATCTTAAGGAAGGTTCTTGATTTTCAATTACTTTAGCACTCGACACTTTTTATGCTTTAAATTTTAGATGAGGTTGGAAAAATTGTTTATGCTTGGGATTCCTCATCACCCTATATCCCTTTTTTTTTTTTAATGTAATACTCAGCATTTGCTTCTACTATTGGAAAACTGGTTATAGTGTTTCCATGACCACATGCAAAACACGGTTGTCAGCTCTGTTGTAGACACACAGATTTCAGAAGAGCTTTCTGTTTCAAACATGCAGGTCTCTGCTGTTGGATAGGCAATCATCTCCAGCAGCAGCAGAGCTCAGAGGCCAGCCATGGGTGGGGTGATGGGATCATTCCTGTGGGAACAGGCCAGCCATATCCTCTTCCAGCCAAGGACAGCGGTACAGCTGCACTGCTGCTGGAAGTTACAGGCTGCAGGATGCAGTGACCTTGCACAAAGGCAGAAAAGGAGATGCAGGACAGCAGTGTGGTAACATGTTGCCTTGAGCCTACTTCTAACTGCTTTTAGAAGTTAAAAAAGCAAACTCTGCTGAAATGGAGCTCTGGTCATTGCAGGCCAGATCTTCATTTAGTACAGATCTCTAAAGGACGTCCGAGGTATTACCTTTAGAACCCTTCAATAGCCATATTTACATGCAAGAAAACGTCAGCAAAGGCCTAACATAATATTTGTACCTCTCTAAGACTTCCAGCTTCCATGTTTTGTTCAGACAACAGACACAGACTGTGCTGGGCTACATTTCCAAACTTTTGCATGGGATATGCACTCCTGGGAGCAGGGCAGGACCGCATGGCCGTGCTGTGGGAACCCCACGCAGATCTGCAATGCATGTCACATGTAACCCTGTGCAGATGCTTCTCTTCATTCCTGTGTCCTTTGGAGGGTAGTTTTGAGTTCGTGGCATTCCAATGTACTCAAGCATTGCAGCTCTTCTGTTAAAACGTGCGTTTGGGTAATTAGTATAATCTATGTGTATATCAAAAGGAACTAACTACTTTGTGTAATCATAATGGTATTTACTGCTTCATTTACAGCTTGTAAATCACAAGGTATTTCCTAAGTCTTGGAAAAAGCTGCCATTGTATATCAGTGACAAAGAATGAAAATCAGAAAGCAACTCAGAAAAATTATGCTTCCAACCAGATCACAGAGTAAGACACACGAGGCCTGATTCCCTGTTGTCAATTTATGTTTTAATAATTGCATTAATTTAGGTGAGGTAGCAGTAATGCACTAAGTAAATTTTTCTTTCTTTCTTTCATTAAAAAAAGGACAGCTGTAACTGAGGAAAGAGTTTTCTGAAGACCAGGAGTCACTGGTGTTCTACAATGCCAATTTGATGACATTGTTTAAAGAAGGGCAGCTTCAATCCTATTGTAGCTCCAAAGGTAATTTTGTCAGCAGGAGTATTCCCACTGAAGTCATCAGTCCAGCACAAGCATGTGAGTTTTGCAGGATCACAGCCCTTCAGTGGGGAAAAAACCATTTGTTCTTTTCTGTGACTGTCACTTGAAAAATTCTGCCTGAATTCCACATCTGAATCATTTTTTGGTAGAGGTGCTCTTAAAGAAAGAAAACCATATTTACCTGAAACCTTTTGAAAAATACTGACACACCACAGAGTAATTTAAAAGTGGATTTTGCTTCATCATTTTATCATCCATTTTGTCTTTCATTGCTTCCATGGCCAACAATGGGACATCTGTGGAATGAGCCTTTCTCACAATTAAATCCATTACTGAGGAGGTATGAGTCTGATATTTGTTAATGAAGTTTCAGAATCATTCATAGCTGACCCAAACCATGTATGTGCACTTTTAGATTGTCTTTTGCCAACTTTTTAATTCCTGGTAGTGAGGATGCAGAATTGACATACTTACATGCACACAACCTGGATATAGTTAACGAAAATTAATTTCTAAATTTATCACACTACTGAAAATATATTTCAATAGAAAAAAGGTATAACAAAAGGAAAACATTTATTAATCAGATATATTTTTTATATAAACAAGAGTTTGGGTAACCAGAAAGGAAAGAACAAGGGATTCTTTGAGTGAGCACATTTGTTAATAACTTTGTAAATCCAGGATTTTGTGGCTTTATACAGCTTGTTTTTCTGTTGTTGCTGTTGTGGTGCAATATGACACTTTTTAATAGTTATCTTGATGAAATTTACATTTTCCCCATTTTTGGAAATGTTTTATTTGCTCTTGTGCTGATTTCTAGTTTATTCTTCCTTTACTTTAGGGATTTTTTCATATTTCTTTTATTTAAAAACAAAACAAAAAACAACCCTAATAGGTGTTATTTTTTAAACATGAGCTTAGTTCTGTACAGGCCACAAATGTATATATATGTGAAATTAGAGTAACTTCTTTTGTTATAGGAAATTCTTTCTTCAGGAGCAAATTAACTCTAATTATCCTCCATACTGCAGTGTGCAGCTGGAGTTTAAATTTGATAAATTAAAGCAAATTTAATAGGCTGGTTTTGAGAATCTGGCCCACATTACAGAGTGCTTTATGACTAAAAGTACCCATTGAAAGTTCACAAAATAAAGTGTCCGATATGCAAGCAACAAAAAAAAGGTTCTATAATGTGGATGTGTATAAAGAAATAATTCTTACCTTTTTCTCTGCATTCAGTGAAAGCTCATCCATTCAGATATCTGTGCTTGGTCAGATGAATTTCATGCCTTAATTGTGTCCAGTGGTTTTGCTGAACCTGTGAAACAGAGAGGGGTCTTCTTCATGATGTTCTTGGTGTTAAAACTGAACAAGGCACAGTGGAAGGTTTAGTAGAATTTACTCATGAGGTGTTTGCACATTGGAATTACTGAGAAACAATGGGAAGCCATAAGGCAAAAGGAAGAGAATTGAAATGTGTCATTTGAATTTTTCTCGAACAAAATTTACCCTTTTTGATTCCTGTGAACTTAAATCCAAATCTATCCAATGAAAGTTTAGAAACATGCCATGCTTTATGACATCAGACAGCATAAAGCAGTCCTTTACTTGCAAATATTGCACTCAACAATAAAGTAAATTAGTTAGTAAATGAGTCAAATAAATTCTGTGTCCAATATTCTGTTAGGTATTACTTGGATTATTCTGACACAGAACTCATAGACTGCAGTACTTTGATTTTTACATCACTTAAGACTGACAATCCATTTGCCATTTTTAATATGAGCCTAACACAAGGCTTCATTAATTTCTTTCTCGATGCAGATTCCTACAGGATTTAAAGATGGGTCATAAGTAACAAACAGACCCCCTTTATCCAGAATCAGCTGAGATTTACCATGAGGAATAGCTGGGACTGTGGAGGTGCCTAGTGAGACTGCATTACCCGCAGCAATTTCCGTGTCAGGATGACCCCATGGGACCACATCAGTCACCAAGGTAAAGCAGCACAGAACATTCTTGACCTTATACTGAAGAGCAGTTCCTCATTTCCAGCTGGCCCTGTTGTGAACTGCAGTTATTGAACTGTTTTACCTCAGCTGATGGAATGGTTCTGTGGGACACATTCTGGCAGCTCAGAATTCTTTTACAAACACAGGGCACCTGTAACTACCCTGTCATGGGATCACTCTGTCTTGGAATATTCCTTCAAAGCATGAAAAGCAGGACTTGCCTCTAATCCAGTCCAACATTTTTTCAGTTAAAATCATAATAAAAAGTCTGTCTTCCATTGCATCTTCCAGGAAAAGTACTAAAAATAGAGACACTTGTGGCATTTGCACATGGTTGAAGAGCTCTGTATTCCATTAAACAGTTTTCTTCCAGAACACCCTGTTCACCAATTGTAATGAATCTTTCCTGAATAAATGGCAAAGATAATTTCTTTTTTATAATAGTACTATAATTATTTTTTGAGAGCGAGGGAAAGATGTGTTGGGCTGGGCTAACTCTTAGCAGAACAACAATCTTGGAATCTCCTGGGGAGACAAATGAATCAGATCTGAAAAGGAAAAAAAAAAAAGCTCCCTAAAACCTACAATAAGGTAAAAAAGGCAGAACTGTCCATACTATGCCAAGGAGCTCTAACAAAAACCCCAGAGTTGCATAATACAGTGCCAAGTACTTACAGCTGGCAAGATTTTCCACCATCACATCCTATATTTAGTAGTGCACACTGCCCATCCATGAGTATTGTATGTAATTCCTCAGATCATGGACCAGGATATGGTGAACATGTTGTGGTTATAAAATATTTGTCTATATGTACATAAAGAATTGTAAATAGAATGTATATCATAATACCAGATTTTTCAAACCTACAGAATTAATAACCTATTAATAACAACACTAATGGGGTTTATTTGCTTTGAAAAATTTTCGTGGCATGCACTGTGCATGTGTAGTTCTTCCCAAAATTCCTTGGCTTGTTAGCTGGAAATGGACAGCCTCTCTTTTCCTCCACTGGTAGAAAAAGCATTTTCAAACTGGCTCAGAGAAAGCTGCCTGCTCACCCTTCTGCTGCCACCTCAGCCAACCCCTTCCTGCTGATTCTCTTCCACTCAGCTAATTACTGTAGAAATTAGTGATCCCAAAGAGCAAACAAGGTGCCCAACAGAACTAGCAAGATGGAGTCCATGCTATAAAGAGTTTTCAGTTCCTCTGCTGAAATCACCAAAGATGTTTACAGAGTATATAAATTATTTTCTTTTAAATGACATTTATGGACACCTAGGAGGTTAAAATTAGGGAAATTTTCAAGGGCATATGAGTAGGGATATGCCAACATATAGCATAAAAAGATACACTAACTTCTAGAAGGGAAAAACAACAATGGTTGATGAAAAATCTAAGGTTAAAAATGGATTAAAGTATATTTCATATTTTATATGTGAAATAAGGTAACACCAGTTCAGTGGAATCTATTTGTGTGCATATTTCTTTAAATATCTGGCATGAGTATATCTTACTTTCCTTTCCTGCAAGAGATTTCTCAAGTACCTATCTCTTCCAGAAAGGTTTAGCATATTATCTGATCTTTTCATACCAGAATAATTAAACTGGAATAAAAAATGCAAGTTCTGACAGTGAAGATATGGGGAGAACAATAGAATTAAAAAGATCAGTCTCAAAAGTAATTTAAAGCTTTCACATCTGTTCTACTTTGTTCCTGTCCAAAATTTGTACCTGTATCTATCTGAGAACTTTGACTCCTTCTGCACACATCTCAGTGCCACCTCAGAAACTCTTGAATCTATAAACAGTTCTGAGTTTGTGCAGCTTAATTCATATAAAAAGGCTGATTTGAAATGGGACTTTATACAAGGCTAGAGTTAGGCACAATCAAAAATCAAAATCCCTATAAAATATCTGTAAGACACCATGAGATAAGATGTTTTGCCTTATTATACTAACACTTCTTCATTTCTGACAATTCAGTGAAGAACTGGTCAGCAGCAGCATGTGTTGAGTGGTAGGTAAGCCAAAACCCTGAGACTGAAAATCCACAAATCAAAGAGAAATCCAGGTCCCTGCATTCTGAACTGTGGGATGTCAAGGGACCCCAGAGAAAGTAACCTTGAATCTAGAATCTGGAAAATCAGGTTTGGGAGAAATTTGCTTTGGAACCTAAATACTCCTTTCTGGTTGTGGATGATGGAAAAGTGCCCAGTGAAACAGTCTAGGGACTGTTTGCATAATATCATCACCACATAATGTTCTGAGTGATAAAAAGGAAAAAAAAATCTATTTTCTAACCTTTCAGGTTCTAGCCCAGGACAAAAAAAAACCACAGGTACAGTTGTCATAATTGATATTGGAAAGTCCAGCAGACAGAATTCTGAATGACTAATTGTTCTTATAGCTACATACTGACTTTCTTGAGAGGAGCCTAAATAAATGTTAAAACATAGAAACATCCAGTTAATATTGGTTTAGAAACTGAGTTTTCAGTTTTCTCTCATTCAGACTGGTTTTTAACTGAAAATTATGAATAGGAAAAATGAAAAGCAAAATAGGATTATTATTTTTTTCCTGTAAGAAGCCGGGTGCTCTGAGCTGTATAACTTACTATTGCAGTCCCTTTGTGTAAAATAGGATTAGCTGAAAAAGACAAAGTGCAGCCAATGTTCCAAATCTGTAGATTATTTGTCACTAATTGTCAATTTGGGAAGTTCCATTTTTGTCTTGGGGGAGTTCTGCTCTACCACACCCGGTATTTCCAAATCCTGCTGAATGATTTTAATGAACATCTCGATTAATTCCTGGGAGAGCGATGTGACTGTGAGGAATTAAAACTTTCTGTGTTAATAGGCAATAGTGTTGCTGTGATCTAAAATAATGAGTTTGTTACTGACTTCCATGGCAGTAGGAAAAGCCCAATGTCCGTATTTTCTGTAGGTAGGCTCCAGCTTTGCAAACAGACTCTCCTTTCCTGCACCCCACTATTGTCATGGTTAACTTCTTGTCAGAGAACCAGCATTTTTTGGGACACAAGCTGTCTTGTTGTTCAAACAGATTGCTAAAAGCTTTTTCTGGTTTTAATTGTTCTGTTGAAGCATTTAAGGTCGAGATGTAGGTTGGTCCCTCAGGGCATGATCCAAAGTCAGCTGTATCCATAGGAAAAGGTCAAGTGAGTGAAACAGGTTTTGAATCAAAGGTTTCTACAGATTTTCCTGGAACAGATGGCCTCATTTAATGGGGAGAAGAGAGTCCACTGAGCCTAAAAGACAAGTCTGCTACCTCAGGGATGTGATCAAGTAAGCTGTGGCTACCTTCAACATGGAAAAGGTAAAATGCAAGGTACAAAAGTTGGGTGCTGCAGTGTTTGCTGTTTTCTCTGGCATGGATGGTCAACTCTGACTTTGGAATTAGTTACCTAAATGACCTACACATCTAATAAGGCATCTAGCAAAAATTGTCTGGCTTTGTGGGGCTTTTTTCCCCAGATAATTTCCCAAACTTCTGGATTTAAATTCAGGAGGAAACCACCAGCCCCATCAAACAAACAGGACTTCCAAAACAAATAGGACTTTTCCATCTTTCTTCTTTCCTAAACATAAATCAGGATGCAATATGATCTCCCTTTCATAATACAAGTTCTGACTGATGATTTGCCTCTTTGAACAAGCTGCTTCATACTCCTGGTGCACTGCAGTCTAAGTTTTCCATTTTGCCAGTTAATGAATGGCACAATAGCAAATAAAATAACAAATGCCATCTTAGTGGTTCCATTTATTGGATTATTTCATTAATTCTCTATCTGAAGAAAACCATCCCACTCCAAGGTTCCTAATAAGGGAACCTGTGAGCATTTTACAGCTTAATGGCCATGATTCCCTATCTGCTTCTCCCCGAGAAACACTGAGCTTTTGAATTGGCAACGTAGTTTTTTTCTACCATTTCTTCTGCAGCAATTTCTTCTCCCAACTCTTCTAAGTAAGGTTGAGGTCTATTTCACACTACAAGTGGGAAAAGTTGTTTCTTTGTTAACTCTGGGATACAGTGTTTGTTGCTCTACCCAGAGCCTTCCATCTGCTTGAGGCCAATATCAACATTCTCTGGTGCTATCAGTTACATCACACACAGCGCTGCCGTGACTGAAAACCCAGAGGCACAAAAAGGGCTCGTTCTTCTCTGGTGTGGCATAAATCCTACTGACTTCGGGAACTTCTCTGCACTTCTCAGGATTGCACCTGCAGTTTAGCAAGAGAAAAAAAAATCTTTAAAAGATCATGTGAAACCCTGTTTACTGAAAGGCAATAGTTTATTTTCTAGCAAAGCAACATTCATTGATCTAGCTGAAATTAACAGTCTTAATTTTGTCATCACTTTAAAAAAAAAAAAAAAACACTTTGACTTTCAGAAAAAAAATACAAAAATAATATTTTGCTACCTTCCAAACATTAACTTTGATTTACTTTTGGAAGCTAATGTGGTTGGTATGTTTTCTCAGGATAGCCTCTATCTATTTCTGTGTGTTGGTTTTAAATGTATCTGAATTAAAAGGGGTTTTAATCTCTGTCTCTTCTGTGAAATTAGATTGTACAAAACTAAATATGACTGCTCTTCATAGTTTGCTGTTCTAGCATAGCCATAAAATGTATCAATGTATGTGTATATATGAATAAATATTTGATGACAGACACTTTAGATTATATATTTAAGCAGCCATGTCAAAACTTCAGAGGTAGATGGCTTCAAAAGCAATGGTATAGTCATAACACTTGCAAATTATTTTACAAAATCAAACCATGCCCTCAGCACAGATCTTATATCCTTGCCAGTAGTCTGAAACCCACCTTTTCTTTAAAGACCCCTGCTAAGGTTTGTTTTGCCATTGCTTCTTTAACCAGGACATATTTGAATAATGACAACTACCGTGTCTCCTGGGACATGAACATTGCTTCCCCCTGGGACTGCCTCACTCCCCAAAATTAGTTTTCTTCACCTAATACATCTCCCATACACGTCCCACTGCATTTCCTTTTTGCCTGTTTGTAACGGTACTGTAGGAATATCCATGGAATAAAAAGCTTACCCTACTGATTTGCAGTCCTGAGGGGAATTTACATTGGGCGTGAAGTTGTTATTATTTACTGGAAAGTGGTGTTATCTTCTTTTCATTATTATTACGATCCTATTCCTATGATACTATGATGTTTCATGTAAATTTTCATGTGCTGGCATGCCTACAAGTTAATAGTGTAATAGAATGCTCAGCTCTCAGCATTAGAGTGTTTTTAAGGTGAATTGCATCACATATGCCATCTCTTTGCAGAAAGAATATGGGGTTTGGCACAACTACCTGCTGAGCAACATAATGAGATTTTTGTACAAAGTACAAGTTATTGATTATTATTGTATTTTATTTTTCTATGATTTCCTAAGAGGCATTATCAGGTCTTACAGATGGGGTAAGCCTGTTTATTAAGATATTTATTAGCAAATAAAAGTTACAGTACTGGTGGTTATTTTTGAGTTAATGGTGTTTGTTTGGCCTTAAGTTACTAATATGATTCACAGTGAAGCCATACATGATCATGCAAAAAAAATCCCAGCTGCTTAACACAGGGTGGTGTACTAATAAAGATGGACTGGCAATACACTCCAACACTTGAGATGCTTCAGGGTGGTGTTTTCTTCAGCTAAAAAATGCTCTTCTGTGCTTACCACTGAGCATTTATGCTCAAAAAACACACACAGCTCACAGCATCGGGGGAAAAAAAATTGTGCACATTAAAAGCCGCAAAGAGCTGTGCTCTCTCTTTGGGAAACACTGTGAATCTGAATTTTAAATGGCTTTTAATGGGCTATTAAGATTCTGCAGTGCCGTTCGCCCTTCTCATGGTGATTCACTGAGCCATGCAACTCCTCTAGTATTTGTCACAGCTTTCACTGACAAAAGCAGTTTTAAAACTGATCATATTATGTAAATAATGCCAGGGCAACGCACGAGGATTCACAGAGAAGTGAATGCCACATACAATAACCAGACCCCACCCCAGAAAGCTTAAGGTTATAATGAGCCTTTCATTGCATAAAATCACATGCGTGCGATGCAAGAGTGAACAGAAGTAGCTGTAAAGCAGTAGGAAATGAGTGTCAGATGCCCGCAGTCCATTACATCCTCTTTATTTTACATGGGAAGAGCTTTCTCACCAAGGACTGTCAGGTTTAACACAGTCTACACAATGAAGAATGAATATTTCATTTCAGATGTGGTTACAGAAATGCCGTTGCCGTTCTGTGTTCTCCACTGAATTCGGAACGGCTCCTGAGATACAGATTGATTTCAAACACAAACACCCTCCCCTACATATAAACCTCACGATCTGATTGGAGTCGAGGAAGTGCTTCACCACAGGGTTTCACTGAGGGATTAACGCTACCTGCCCGTTCCTTTAGCGGCTCACAGTGCCACTGCAGGGGAATCTCATCTTTTATTCGCAACCTTCCTGACACAGGAAATACAGCACACATGGAACCAATCTGACGGGACTAGGCTACGCAGCAAAAAAAAAAAAAAAAATTTAAATATATATATATATAAAATCCGGAATGTATATGCACTCCTGAGAGGGGCAGCGCTCGCAAACCAGCCATTCCCGAGGCGCTGGACACGGACACGGAACGGGACACCGGGACACCCCATCCCTGCCCCGGCCCCCTCAGCCGCACTGCGCCGGGGGCGTGGCCTCGGACTCGCCCCGCCCCAACGCCCTCCCCTGATTGGCCGGAAGAGGCGGAGCGGGTGTGACGGCGGGACGCGATTGGTGGGGCGGGGAGAGGGCGGGGCTTGGGTTTCCTCGGCAACGGCGGCGGCGCGCGGGCCCGGCGGGCGCCTCCCGGGCCCAGGTGGGTGCTGCGGCCGCGGGGGCGCGCCCGGGGAGCGGGGACCGGGGCCGGGGACCGGGACCGCCTGTGCCGGCCTGCCCGGGGGAGCCTGTGCCCATCTGCGGGAGGAGAGCCTGCCCTGGCCTGGGAGAAGGCGCCCCGGGCGGCGTGAGGCCTTGTGGTGCTGGCGGGAGGGCTGGGAGCTGCGATGCCCCGCAGGAGGCCCTCGCTCCCCGAGTGCCGGAGGCCGAGCCCCGCACGGAGCCCGGGTGTTTTATTTTATTTATTCCTGGTTCTGCGCAGAAAGGGCGGCAGATCCGCCCAGCCAGCGCGGCCACTGCCAAAGCTGTTCACTGTTTATGCATTTTAGCAATAATGTTCGCTCCCTGCTAGGCACCTGGTTCTCTTATCAATTGGTATCCCGCCTTCTGTTGGCTAATGATTCTTTCCTAATTAGCTTCCCACGCTAATTAGTCCACATGCTTCGTCCTTCCCTTCTTCTGGATCTTAGACCATTGAAATATATCCAGCCCAAAACTAAACAAGGCAGTTCTACCGAAAAAATTAATTTGTCTTTCTAGCACCTGGACATCACTTAGCGCTTGTTTGTTGGCTGCTTTCTATTTAATGGATTAAATCTCCTTTGTTGTTGATGAGGCTTGAAAGTAGACAAAGATCAGACATGAAAGAACATCCTTTCTTAAGAAAAAAAGCTTAGAGAGGTTGCTGTTAAGCTCCTGGACCAGACTCTGCCTTAAATAATTTTCTGAGATGTCTGATATATGCTGTATAGCACTGTAATACATATAGGCAAATATATATATATTTTTAATATATATATAAAATATCTATTTTTATATTATATACAATATATCTATTATAATATAATTTATATATATATAAAACATATAGGCAAAATATCAGCTGGCAAAAAAGATGGGGGGAAAAAGGCACCTGTGTTAGCTGTAACTGCTGTAAGTCTTCACAGATGAGAAAAAACATGAACATAGGGGCAGGGCAAGAACTCAAGGGTACATTTCTTCCCCCTGTGTTCTTAAATAATGACTGTGCCAACTGGTTGGAAATTTTCTAGAAAAACATAGCTCTAATTAAAATGTTGCTAGAAAGTGTTGTGTATTTAGGGTTTTGGATTTAAAAGTGAAGCCCTAGAAGTATTTTTAAGGGCTTGTATTTCCTCCTGTTTCATTTTGGGAGTGCCTACAATGGGTTTTTTTGACCCTCTAGAATGTATTTTTTTGACCCTCGATTTTTTTGATCCTCTAGAATAGATAGATGAAACTCTTGATTGGATAAGAAAGTAATGTGTCTTGGAGCAGGGTTTTGTCAGGTAAATTTGATAATAAACAGCTTTAATCTGCTCTTTGAGTTGTATATATGGATTTTAAAAGGAGTGGGGCATAAAACAAAGGGAGTTAGAATGAGAGACTTGCTGTAGTTAATGTTGGGTTTTTTAACCTGGTAATAATTCTGTGTAGCTGTAATGTAGATCATGACCAGTTCTGAATCAAAATACACCAGGGAAAGCTCTAATAAAGATCTGTATTTAAAAAGGAAAAATCATCCTTTAACCAGAATGATTGATTACTTGTCTGACTTTACTAAATGCAAAGTTTTAAAATTATTAAAAAGCAGTTAACCATCATTTTGTAATCAGTTAGTGAAAATTGTGATCAAAGATTTGTTATTGATGGGGTTTTTTTACCTTTCCCCCCTTCTGCTGTGATTTCCTCAGCTTGCAACCTGAATTGTCCAGTGCTGTGTGCTTTTAATTTATTAAGAGAAATACAGCCTTTGCCACTCCAGAAATCATCTGACATGAATTAAATATTTTATTATTCAGGGCATCTCAAAGGTTTCAGTTGTCTGATTGCTGAAATAATTTCTAGTGGAATTCATTCAGGGCAGACAAGGGTTATCCTCTTTGCAGAGTGCATTTAGCCAGGTAATGCAGGGCAACATGTGATGTAAGCTCCTTTGAATGTGCCACTGCCAGGTAACTTCAGCCAGAGTCTGGGCAGCAGCAGAGGTTTGGCATCTCCCTGACGTGTGGGTGAATGTTTTGGTGTCTATTTTAATCAGTTTCTATTTGTGGTGAACGAAGAGTTCCTAATTTGCACGTGTCAGTATTGGCAAAATATTGGCAAATCAAGAGTTTGAATTGAATCAACAGAGAGTGCTTTATTTAATGCAGGGTTCAGTAAATTACGTAGCAGGTGCTGAAGAAGGGAAATACTGTTTTGTTTTCAGAATGGTGTACTGCTGACAATTTGAGGTGAAGATAAGGACCCTCCTTTTGTTTTTGCCCAGTTTGGTGGGAGCCCTGGTGGCACTGCATTGTGCCCCTGTCCGGGCTGCTCGGCAGCGTTTTGTCCCAGTGAATCAAGGGCGTTGTGTGATACAGACAGGGCTATAAACAGCCAGTCTACTTTGGTATCGAGGCCTCCTGGCTGTAATCAGCTTACCCTCGGTGTGCTTATGTGCAGAGCCAGCCCCTGGGACAGTGTTTGTGTCGGGGCTGCTCACACCATCGCTCCCAGGTGCGAGGCTGCTCGGCCCCATGCCCGCCCTCGGTGCCAGCGCTGCCCTGCGTGTAGCACTCTTCCAACAGCTCTGATTCCCTGAACAGCAGGTGATCCCTGGGACTCCCAGCCACAGCCATGGGGTTGTTTGACAAGCTGGCAGGATGGCTTGGGCTGAAGAAGAAGGAGGTTCACGTCTTGTGCCTTGGCTTGGACAACAGCGGCAAAACGACGATCATCAATAAACTTAAACCTTCAAATGTGAGTAGCCTGCGTGGTTCACTGCTGGGTGTTTGTTTGATCTGGGTCTGCATGCTGTTACAAAGGATGTGCCCATGGAAAAGATGTGCGGAGCTTGTGATTTAGCACAGTGGAACAAATATAATTTAAGATTTTCCAACTAAAACTAAGAGTAAGCATTCACATGCACATTATTTTCCAGAAAAACTCCACTGTTAACATGGCACACTTCTGTTAAGATCACCCAACAAGGAAGGGTTATGATGGCTGAAATCAGGATCTGAAACAGTCACTTAAATCACTTAAATAATTGTCACAGGATTGCAGTTACAAGTGATGTTGAACATTTGGGATTAATACAATTGTACAACAAGTTATCATGTTTGTTTTAATCTCTTCCTGAAAAATAGTAAGTGCATAAGAGATAACAAAATAAGAAATAAAAAGAAGATGCACGTTTAAGGGTGACTTCACAATTTTTAAAGCAGAATAATTTTCAAAATAAGTACCATTAATACTTGCAGTTCATTCATCCAATGAAAAATATTTGAGGCCACTAGGAGTGCCTGATATTCTGAAAGTAGGATACTTGTTTACAGATATGTTCATGGACTAGAAATAGATTAATTTTGATAAGCATGTTCAAAGCCAAAGGTTGTACATCTTGATTATTTGCATGAGGGAAACTGATTTTTGCTGTTTATATCAGGAGACAGCTTTTTTAAATTATTATTATGAATTTTCATTACATTGTACCTGATGAGTCCACTGAACATTGTTTAAAAAGTGTGACATAATGAAGAGTCTGCTACTCTTCCATTCCTGGCAATTATTCTTCCACTGAAAATGGAGTAGATTTATGAACAAAGACTATAAACTCCTTACTATCTGCTGCCAGTTGTTTGGGAGAAAGGCTACAGTGTGTACCAGGCAAATTGTACTTTATGTAATTACTGAGACCTTTTTTGTAGAGGGTTTTTATGTCATGCCTTAAGCAGTAAAGGATTCCTAACTACAGTTGAACTCAAACTTGAAGATTTATCACAATAATGGGCATTAGAGAAGCTCTCAGTGGAATTACATGAGTAGAATAAATACAATTTGTTTGTGATGAGAATTTATAGGAGGATAACTTTGCATCCAACTTGCATAAGTCCTACCCTTGCAAGACATGCCAGAAAGTCTAGCATGCAACAAATGTCACTAGATCAAAGTTAATAAAACTGTTTATTTTTAGTAAGTTCAATGGACAGGTGATTTTGAGGTCTGGGTCAACTCAGTCTTCTTAAGAACTGCTGCTTTGCCCCAGGAGCACTATATTAGGGCCTGGCAAATCCAAATGTGTTTCCATGTGCAGTTGGTTCTGCTGGACCTGCCTATGGATGGTGTTTGGAATAAGGGCCTTTAGGAGTCTGTGCAAGGACTGCATGTCACTTTCTCAGACTGCTCTGTAATCTATGGGATGTGACCTTTCTTCCTGCTCAATATCGATGCTTCTTAGAGGAGCTATTCTTTTCCACCAACTTGGCTGATAGGCTCCTTGGCCAGCTCAGTAGTAAATCAGTTATCAGACAGATCTCTTAATAATGCTCTGTGTTTTGGCAATTCCAGTCGTGTTTGCTCTCTTCCCCAGAAAATACAAAACTCTTGATTCGGAATTACTTTACTTTTCTGGGAACTTTTTAAATATTTCACAGTTTGGGGCAATAATAGATCTGTAATTTATTCATGTTTTAAATATATTTCAGTATTTGCATTTTCTAGTTTGGTTGTAAAACCTGTGCTTTCTTTCCTTCAAAGGCTCAAACACAGGACATCGTTCCAACAATAGGATTCAGTATAGAGAAATTCAAAACTTCAAGGTAGTACTTTCTTTCTTCATTAGCAGTTATGATTATTACACCATAGTTGGACTTAATGATCTCTTTCAGGGGGTTTGTAACTGAGTATCATGTGTGGTGGTGTAATGACATTACACTGCAGTTTGTTGAAATGTAGTACCCACCAGACCTAATCATGATCCAGGACTGAGTGTGTTAGAACAGATTGTGTGTTTTGTGATGCTATAAAAGTATTTAAATTTTTTTTTTACGTTTTTTTAATTTGGTTATTTTTTGTATAAACATCTGATCTCTGTCTGTTGAGAGTTTCAGAATAGGGCACTGTTACAGACTGGAGGAGAGACAGCTGCTGAGGTGGCAGCCTAAATTCCACTCTCAATCTGGTTGCCTAAATTAAGCACTCTCACTGGAGGTACTCTGAACAGATTGCAGTGTAATCTCATTAAATGCAAAAGGATGGCTGCAGCATTAGCAATGTAAAGGTGGCAGGAGCAAAGGCCAGGAAACAGTAATAAGTCATTAGTTGAATGAAGACTAAGATTTGGATTAAGAATGTCATGACATGAGGATATTTCAAGGAGGCAGCATCATTTTGTTATTTTGTAGCCTTCACTGGATGTTTTTAGCGTGTGCAGTTAGTCTTCAAACCAAGCAGTATGGCCTCACTGGGTGGGAGATCTGCAAGAAAATTGTTTATTCCTTGAGCTGATATGTAAGACTGAGAGGTTTTATATTTCTCTAAGAGCTTCCACAATTGAGCTCTGTCCTAATAAAGAACATCAGACAGAAGTTTGAGACTTCCCATGTGAGAATGTAAATTTATATTGCTTTTTTTTTATTCTGATCCTGTCGTAGGAGAGATGATGACCTATAAATATGTCATGTAGAATGTTTTAAAAAAACCAAAACAATGCCTAAAAAAAACACCCTAAAACCTCAAACCCTACAAACTGAGAAACCCAGAACGCTATGTCTGGACATAGAGTGGGAAAAATGTCTGGAGAGCTTCCTTTTCCTAATCTTCTTGTTTTGGTGGTCTCCACCTGGGGAGCTACTTGGGGTTACCCAAAAAAGGAGAGCCTAGTTCTGAACTCGATGTTGCCTCTGTAAACATTTCAGGAGCAGATGAGAACTTTTTGTAGAGTTCAGTAAGTTGCCTTTTCTGTATGTAGTGTGTGAGTGAAATCTCACAGTGGCAAAGACTGTTCTTTGTAGCTTGGTCATGTGAACTCACCTTTTTTTACCAAAATGTACTTTTTTTTTTTTTCTAAAGGTTCCTAAAGGTGGAATTTATTTATTTCTTTAAAAAGCCTTTTATTTTGCCCACATTTATACTTGTCTAGAGACAGAATTTAAGACAGGCCATGGATTTTAAGTCATGGTTCATCTGAATTTAGTTTATTCATAAACATTATGTGATACCAGCATGATAGAGAGACAGACTGAATGGGAGCTTATTTTCCAGTTGATGTAACTTTAAATAATTAGTTTAGTTCTTTTATTCAGATAATCAACACATTTCCCATTGTGAAATATTTCTATAATGAGGCTGCAAAACTGAGTAGTAGGGTAATTTGAAGGCAGATAGTGCAACCAGAGTTCATTTGGGAATTTTTCTCAGTTGATTTGGATTCAAACTGATCTGGCTGGTTTTTTGGTGGTTTTTTTGGACAGGGTAGAAAAGAAAATGAATGTGGTTTGGGTTTTGTTCTTTTTTCCTTGACTTCATGCACTTCTTTTCTTTGCAGTTTGTCTTTCACAGTGTTTGATATGTCAGGCCAAGGGAAATACAGAGACCTCTGGGAGCACTACTACAAGTAAGCCTATAATTTATTTTAAAGCATTGCTGTTCATATTGACTGTTCTGTAGGTTATTTAAACAGAGGTATGATAATATCTAGTGGTTAGAAATTATTTAGAGAAGGCTCATACTTGGTGTTTGACAGAAGGTTTACTCTGGATAAATAAAACTTTCTATTCTAACAAATTAAAATTTTTATCTGGTGTTACTCTGTGCTTTCAGGGACAACTTTGGGTAACATACTAGAGATGAGATTTAAATGTTGAAACCTGGAAACTAATCCTGTAAGAAAACTCAAGACGAGTTAGGTTTCCAGCTTTTCAGTTCTTCTGTAGGTCAGCTACTTAAAATCTGCAAGATATTGGCTGATGGCTGAGATTTTTAGAGGTGAGAGAAATGAACCTCAGAGGATAAGACACGTGTAACTAAGAACCTGAATGAATATTCTTAATGTCATTTATTAAATAGATAGTCTCTGTATTTTATAACACTCTGGTATTGCCTTTTGGTAATAGATGGACACCATTCTCTGGTTATGAAACTTTTAGTGAATCTTTATTATTTATATTATTTATTATATCTGTTTAGTTAATCTGTATTTGCATTGTCTCATTGCTATTCTGTAATGCCTCATCTTGATCTAGATAACATGAACAATACTAAACCATGCAGAAATAGCTTGGAGAAATAGAAGGGAGAAATTATGAATATTATAATATTGATTAAATATTAATGTCAGTTGTGGTAGAGCTTAAATTGTTTTTTAATTGAGAATTAATGTTTCCTCTCCTTCCTGTGCAAACTGTGTTAGCATTGAAAACATTTGGCCAGGACATCTCATTGTTCAAGAGTGTTAGATTTGCATTTCAGTAACTGATGCCCTCAGGCTGCTCTCAAAATTCTAGCAGAGTGCTTCATAAGCAAATAATTTTTGTGATTGCTGTATTTAATGCAGTAACTTATCCCTTGTGGGGCATAAATGGCTTTTTCCTCTTAACAATAACTCCCTAACAGTAAGGGAGTGTTTTAGGTTATGCTGACAGTGAAATATGCACTTGTATCCTTCTCTGGTCCTGAACAAGTGCAGTAGGCATGTATTTAAGATTAACTTCTAAGAATAGTATAAAACCAATAATTTCTATCAATTAAATAAAAATATTAATAAAACAATTATGTGCTGTTCAGTTTATAAAGTTAAGCAATGTTTAATTTTGCAGGAAATTAAATCTGGGCAAGTGTCAAAGTAGTTGTCTTGGTGTCCTTCAAATCTGGACTTTTCTTCTATTTAGCTTTAGAGAAAGTATCTTCTAGTTCATTCTCTAAGTACATTTATCTTAAATAATCCCAAAGTCGTGTGGTGTCCCAATGGCTGATACTTCCCTGTGAAGTTATTTTTTTGGTGGTAAATACATGCCAGTACTCTTGATTCCTCTGGTAAAATACTCTGTGCTCATGAAAATGGCTTAGGCATTTCCAGCTAATATGCAAAATCTTTATTTACTAAAGGTTGTGTACACCAGAAAAGAATGGGCCTTCTCATACAATTTTGGGCTGCTCAGGTTGTTTTTGGTTTTCAGCAGGTGTAGAATGTTTCTTATCAATATACAAAGATAGATGGTGCTGGAGGGTAAAGAATGTATTCATAATGGTGTCTCAGAGAAATGTAAAATGAAGGAGAAGTGAATATTACATTAAAATATAAACGATTTCACCTACATTCTGTGGGTGTTTACAACAGGTGAATTATAAATTGGTGAGACTTTCTTTGGTTTTCAGAACAAGTTTCAATAAATGGAGCATCAAGTCAAAATATCAGTAACATCCTAAAATAATGAGTTGAGTAGCTGCATTTATGTTGTGACTGGTCACACTATGAGCAAAATGTCCTAATGATTTGAAATATTTGAAAGTTTTTAGCTGTTATTTAAAAAAAAAAAAGGAAGAAAGATCCTGTTTCTGCAGGACATATAAAGGTTAAAATAACCTGCATATGTCTAGGTATGGACACAGGTTGTGTTTAAAAAGGTATTTGACCTTTCTCTAAATAAACTTTAGTACAGGAAATACAGAAATTCTGTAAAGATCTGTCATTATAGAGTTTTTCCCTGCCTGACCACAATGTCAAAATAACAGTTGGTTACCTTTTGAGTCCATTTTTTAGTCTGAGTAGTAAAATCAGTAGCTTTTCTAGAAGGTGTGTGGAGACTGAACCTTGTAGGGGCAGGCAACAACCTCATGTCTAAAAAAATGATGCATATTAACAAAATATTGAATTTCAGAAGTAAGACTGGATTCAAATGTTAATGGTAAATAACAATTAAAAAAATTAGAGAAAAAATCAGGTTTGTTTGGACTTTTTTCTTGGTGTTTCTTCTGAAGCCTTTTCTTATTCACAGAATACTCATTTGTTTGAGAACCTATAATTTGCCTCTTTGCTCTTTTTATGTTATGCAGAGAAGGACAAGCCATTATTTTTGTCATTGACAGCAGTGACAAATTAAGAATGGTTGTGGCCAAAGAAGAACTTGACACCCTTCTGAATCATCCAGGTGAGGAGGCTTTTTTCCCATTCTGTGTCCTTAAGAAAAGCCCTTATCTGACACATTCTTAATACTTTGCAAGTATTTCAACCTTTCATGAATATTAGCATAATAATAGTCTTCCAAAACATGTGGGTTTTTTTTTACCTGTTCACATTTGGAAATGGGTCACACTTCAGCTGTCTACACTGAGTTGGGTTGGTCTCTTATTAATCAATATAGATCAAAAGTTACATTATTTTGAGAAAGATTAGACTTTGAATTGAAAGCTGGACAGGCTTCTTGTGATGACCAGCACACACAAAACTGTGTCTCCCTGTCTGTTTTTTCCATGAAGTCAGATAATTCCTTTAATGTAACATTTAACTTTTTTTTGTTGTCATCTTGTAATTTTTTATGCTTTAGACGGAAATACGAAGGGATAATTACACCAGTCAGTTTTAACTCCATATGGAAGAGGATATGAGAGGATTTGTGATCAGGGTCTTGTTTTTAGGGGTTTGGTTTGTTTTTTTTACATGAGACTGCACCTTAATTAAAGTTCTGATATCAGTCAATTCTTTGCCTTTCTGTGTATCCAACATTACTGGGATGTGTCTGTAAGCAATATGCAATTTTGACTTTCAGTGCTTTTGGCAGTTGCTCTGCCTAACCAGAATGTAAAACTACATCTAGAAAGTTTAAAAGCTAAATACTCCTATGATTTCTTAATTATTTATTAATGTGATAGAGCCTTAACTTGTGAGATTCCCCTGCTGAAAATAAGAAAGGAAAAGCTGACTTGTATTTTTAAGAAAAGCAATGTGTGATAGGGACAAATACGTTCCCATGACTTTATTTTCCATGAAGACTGTATATTACACTTTAATTCATCAACAAAGATGCTGGAACTGACTGGACCTTCTTATTCTCATGTTCTAATTTCTCATTCAAGGGTATGGGCTACTTCAAATGCAGACACTGAAAAGACAGTGTTACAAAAGTCACAGGGAGGATGAGGTGAGCCAAAGGCTGTAGGTGGATTACACAGAGGCCAGGGCACTGTGTACCAAGTCAGGAATTAACTGCAGCAGAAAAACCCAGTTCTGTTAGCAAAGTGAACCACACAGGGTGAGAGGTAAAGCTGCTGGAAGAAGTTACTGGTTTAACAGAGGGCACAAGAATAAAAATGTTTAGACAGAGTAGAAGCAACCTTAGGTGGTGCTTTTCATTTAGGCATTAATAGGTCACTAATGCTGACTTAGCAGGTCAGTGCTGTTCAGTTGTTCATGGATTTGTGTCTTCAAGTTCAAAAGACCAGGCTCTGGCCACTGAGTGCAGTCCTGAGAGCCAGGAGAGAGCAGTTGTGGATTTCTGCCTTGGAGTGGCTTAGCTCCAACACAGCAACAGTGTCACTGATTTATCAGTTTTGGTATATCACATCTAAGAGAACCAAAGGGCTTAAAAAGTTCTTCTAGGACAGTGTTCAATAAATGTAGCTGTTAGGTGAATCAATATACAACTGGATTGCTATATCAGTACTTTTATTTGTATTAGTGTTCTGCCTTTCTTGCTGCATACCCTGCTTTCTCCCAAACTATGCTTCCATCGGTGTCATCCTCCTGAAGTGATGTAAATGTATGTATTTACCTAAGTTTTAAATGGAATTGAATCAATTCTTGTCTCTGAAAATCTTAGCAATCCCACAGTAAAACAGTTCCCTGTCTTTTTGCCAGGCTTTGCCTGAGGGAAAAGGAAGGGAATGTGTCCTGTGAAGCATTAATGGGGTTAGAAGTTGTACTAGCTGGGACTCTTTTGTGCATCAGAGCTATAAATTGTTTTTACTTACAGCAATGGACAATGCACTCCTCAAATAACAGCTTGTTTAATGATAACTGTATCATATTTTGGTTTTTTACTCAAATTTCATTCTTCAGCACTTTGAAATATGATAGCTGTAGATTACCTGGATTAGATGATGACTCTTGGGTCACTTCACCTCCAGCACATGCTTCTAAACTAAACTGAAATTCTTGTAAACTTGAACTTCTTTGTGTAAAATTGCACATCACACATCTAGTGCCTGGAATATTTTTAATGTGTTAATTCATAATCACTTGCAGCTAGAAAATGTTTGCTTTCCATTAGTAACTGTGAAAATTGTGGCAGGGAAATACTGCACATGAGGAAATAATATAAATTTCTGTGACCATGACTTTATTTAGCAAATATCTTTTATATGCATTATGAGTCTGGGTGGGTAGGTTGTGCCCCTTTCTAATTATTTAGAAAGACACTGGAAACTCCTTGATTAACTTGGCTGTTTGCATATGTGATGTCAGCTAATTTATGTGTTTTAATTTACCCCTAACCTCCAACCTGTGGCTACCAGGGTTCATTTAATTATACTGTAAATTACTGTAAAAATTTCAGTCAGTAGACTCAATAGCTGTTCAGCTATGGAATCAAAACAGAGATTTAATTATACTGTACTTGTATTTTGAGGCTTTTGACTCATGTTTATGGCTACCAGAGGACAAAAGAGCTCCAGGAAGGGTAAATAGTTTGTGAAAATTGTCAGTGTTTTGATCAGCACTTACCATCTCTGAATGAATATGGGGAAGTAGTGTTACCTCCATTGATTCTGTGGAAAGGCTTAGTAGGAAGGTGGAAAAGAACATAATTAGGAAAGTTCAAACCATTTCAGCCCTGACAGTTTGTTGGGATTTTGTGGGTTTTTATCATCCTCCTGCCCATCAGCAGGGGCAGATGGCTTATGTTTGACATTTTAAAATAAATCTTTACCTAGTTTCCTGTGTGACATAACCTTTTCTTTTTACTATTTTAAAAAGAGCCTGTGTAGCAATTTTCATTGAGGTGGTAGTGTGTAAGTTCTTTTCCTTAGGAAAAGAACTATGCACACTAAAACCTAGATTATTTCTAATCCTGGATATCATTCTTTGTATAAATAATATGAAAAACTTTGATAGTTAGTCTTGGTGCTGGTAATTTTTTTGGCAGTGTTACATCTGTAACTTTGAAGAGAGTATGTTTTGTTTCCTTTTAATCACTATATAGTCTTTTGGGGTAATCTGTGAGGTTTAAACTTGTCTTTGTGTAAGTATCCCAGAAATTGCCAGAGCACTTTGTTTGGTCTCACTGCTAGCAGAAAGAGCTTCTGGAGAAGAAGTCCTTCTAGGGAAGGGAGAATAAAGGATGGCCACATGTGCATTTTTTTCCAATTGTATAAATTCTATGAAGTAATGGATGCTTTCCAGGACACTAAAGGATAATTCAGACTACCCTTCTCAGCTATTGTTGTGACATTATAAATGAACACAAATTATTTTTTCCATCCATTTTATACGTTCAGTCCTCACTAAGCAGAGATGTGCAGTGTTTATGGGCAGTGGTTTGATCTCTTGTTCCTCAGTTTCACCAGCAATTCCTGTCTCCAGCTTGAAGTGTGGGTATAAGGTAGGGGGAGAGGGGGTAGAGGATTCCGAAGCCCACAAGGAAGTTTGTGAACATTTTGGAAGCATGCAGCAGAGGCCAGGTGACCCAACAGTGTGTACATAGGATACATGTAGGATACAACTTTCAGAGAATTGCAGCTACAGGTGAGCAGAATACCTTCCTGTGCTGTTTGTACCTTGTTACATGCAGAGATTAATGGGTGCTGCCTCATGTCCTGATGGTTCTGTCTCTGCTCATGCCTAGACATTAAGCACCGCCGGCTGCCTATTCTCTTCTTTGCTAACAAGATGGACCTCAGGGATGCAGTGTCATCTGTGAAAGTGTCTCAGTTGCTATCCTTAGAAAACATCAAAGACAAGCCCTGGCACATCTGGTAAAGTTCTCTTTTTCTATCCTTTCTATCGCATTACTTTGTGCATTGCTATTTTAGCCCTGTCGTGCCACTCACTGCTGTATAAAATAAATGGAGTAGATAAAACACAGACGAAACACTAAATTTAAAACAGTAATATTAAAATACTTATGGTGAAACTTACTTTTAATGTACAATGCATTCATTTAGACTGTGTCTGTAAAGTTTTCACAGCAGAACTGTTAGCCAAGTAATGGAATGGAGGATTTCCAGTGAAATCAGAAAGGGTTGATATAAGAACAGTTGACATTATATTTTGCTGGGAAATAGAGTAGAATGATTATCAGAGTGCTCCTGCTAGATTACCTTGCAGGTTTGAGAATATCAATAATAAAACCTTTGGAGTTTTTTTTCCACTCTGCAGATGCTTTAGTAAACTGTTGTTGAAAGGCCATTTAGTGAACTGCTTTCTTCTGTATTCAGAGACACTCTACTCTTTGTACCCAGTCATGTTTGAGGGGATTTTTAGTTGTAGGAGCTAGTCTTGTGTTCCTGAAGGATGTAAGCTTTACTTACTGCTGATGTTCACAAGGAAAAAACTCCTTTTATCAGAAGTGCTTTATAGAAGTTAGTATTTTGTCCTATTGAAGTCCTCAGCTGTTATAAATAAAAGAGAAATCAGCAGCTAAATGCTGCTGAAAGCTACAATTTTCATTTTAGGCCCTTTCATGTTAAATTTGATTACCTGGACATTATTGTTGTCCAAAAATCACACTCATGAATTCCCAAGCTTCTTGGAAGATTGTTTTATGGGAACTGCAGTTACAGTCCAGATTCACTGCTGTGCTGATTTTCATAAAGTGAGGAATGAAGAGCATTTAAACAGTTATCCCTCAGTGATTCAGAATGTGGATTTACACTGCTCTCAGTGTAGCAGAATAGTTTTATACATTAACAGGCACTCCTGGGGTCGCTGTTACAATGAAGTGTGTACACAGACATAACTCCTCCTTCCAGTACTCCAGCATTCTCACTGAGTATAGGAACTGCATGGAGGACTTTTGGGCTTGTTCATCTTAAAGGTCTTATCCAGCCTAAATGATTCCATGATTCATGGCTGCTGTTGGAGGGAGTAAACATCTTTCACAGCACTGTCTGAGGAGGGAGGTGCTGCAAAACAATGTGTCTGCCGTGTGTGGGAGCTCTCCCAGAGCCCCTCATATTCCAGGAATGATTCCTTGTTCCTTGGAATTAAAAGAGATCCCATCATGAAATGGTGTTTCCCTGTGGGGAAGGTACCCTATATTATTTGAAGAGCAGTCTTCTCCATAGAAAGAAAACTTAAGGAAACTACCTGATGCTACTTTGCAATTACGTAAATTACAAGTTTGGTGATGACTCAACTAAAACTGGTATTTTTACAATGTTTTTGAAATTTGATTTGTTTCTTTCAGTGCCAGTGATGCTCTTAAAGGAGAAGGATTACAAGAAGGTGTGGATTGGCTCCAAGGTATAACATATGTAATTCTCTTGCTGTATTTTCATTCTGTTAAACTCTTTCATTTTGTAAGTTTTTTTCTTTATTATTTCCTTTGTTTTCTTTCTGTCCATTTCTGCTGTCAGATCAAATTACACAGTGAGTACTAAAGCTCTATCTCATATTTGCCTTTCATTTACCTCCTTAATGTACATAAAGCATCATATGGGCTTCCCTGACCAAAGTGTCTATTATGAAATACTAATGCACACTCTTGCAAACAGTGTAGCACTTTCATTTAAACAATACCAACTCCCACACTTCAATTTCTTATTGTGGTAGTTCAGTTTCTACTTCTATTTATTCTTAATGTCCTGTCCCTGTTTTACATAACTTAATGTTACGTATCAAGAAATGGTGAAAGAAAATAAGCCAAGTATCCAGACAAATACACTGGTTTTAATTATACACCTTCAGCTCTTTAATCCAGAGCCAAAAGAAGAACTTCTTACACCATAACGATTATAGCACATGCAGACACTCATAAATGCATGGAAAATATCAGATCCAGCTTGGATGATGTCTGACACCCAGCATCTTTAATTACAAACTTGATACAGATGTTGTGTAATTACAAACTTGGTACAGATGTTGTGTCTCCTTCTGTTGTGTGCTAGTAAGGCTCTGCTCTCCCTTGTCCTCCTGCTCAGTGTTTAGATTAGTGAAGTGTGGCATAGTTTGGCAGGCTGGTCCCAGTTTTAGCTCCCTGGCTGGCGTTGCTTGTGCTGTGAAGTGCCTCGGGTGCAGCAGCCGCCTGTGCTGTGCCCCGCCGGCCGCCGGGGGTCAGCGCTGGCCCGGGGACAGAGCCTCCTTCCAGCGGGGTAAGAGCCAGCCCTGGCCCGGGTCAACCCATCCCTGCTGCTCCGGGACACCGGGCTGCCCTTCCTACTTAGACTCGTCCCGCTGGCTAGAAAAAGATGGTTTGTTTTACCGAGGTATTGTAGAGTACAAAAACATTCGCCAAAAATAGTCTGTAGAAAGAGATTTACTGCCCTACAGAAGAGCAATGATGTATCCTCCACCAGCTAAAATAATTCTGGGGTGGGGAACCAGGATTTTGGTACTGGATTTCCTCCTCTCCTGTATCCTGTCATCATAGAGGCAGATTCCAAATAATAATTTCTCCTAATTTCAGGCATAGTTCTGGCTTAGTAATGTTTTCTTGCTATGTTCAGTCTCCACTTCTCTTGGAAGAACCTTTAGAGTTTCAATCCAAATTTTGGGTTTGTACGTAGCTTCATGCTACTTAAAAGTATCTCAAATGCTTGTGTAAATATTTTCTGACAAATTTTTTAAGTTATATGTGTAGATTTTTTTAAGCACAGTGAGCAGATGCTTCTGCTGTCAATCGCATAGCTCTTACAGCTATTCACTTATGGAGTGTTAAACTTCTTAATTTTTTGAGCTGAAAATCCTTACAAAGGGGCTCTATCTGAAAATTTCCTTTAAGTTCCTGGTTCAGAGAGCCCAAAAGCTGAAGAGGGGTTGAGTTTAAATGGTACTGCTACCTAAGCACATGTAGTTTGACAATTATATCAATACTTTGATATTTCAAGGACAAATCTTTACTCTTGATTCTCCTCATTCCTAGAGCACCAGATGGAAATATTTGGAACAACTCTGTAGTCATGGTAGTCCCTAAATCACAGCCTGGGGATGCCATAAAATTCAGAGGAGGAAATGACACCTGGTGAATGAGTGCACAGTTCTTGTCAGCAGCCAGGCTTTCCTTAGTTATCCATTCCAGACCCATTTCACAGTTGGGGTGGCAGGGGCAGAAAGTTTTGTGGGTTTTTTTGCCTAGTGAATGCTGAGTTTGCTGTTTCTCTATTTTGTAATGGAGTTGCTCTTGCAACAGCACATCCTCCATAGGGTAAAACAAACCTGTCTCACAGCATTCCCCCTTAGTGGGGGAGATTGTGCTGATTTCCACATTTTGTAATGGGATGCTGGGTGCTTTTAGTAACCAAGAAAACGTTTGAAGTGAGCTGAGAAGTGGCAATCAGGCAGCAATATGGAGGTGTGGCTACTGAAAGCAAAGTTTTCATGTGAGTTATTAGAAATCAAACTTTAAATCTCTTGCTGTTGGCCGGTTCATGTTCAGTTAGGTGGGAGCCAAAATGTGTACAAGACATTGAAATGCATACTTCATAAAACAAACTTCCAGGTCTTATGGTCATCAAAGTGATCTTATAAGCCTGAAGAAGATAAAAATTGTACTAGGTGGGAAGAGACTCTGTTAAATTTGCAAGATTTGGGGGAAACAACTTGGCTGTACAGGAATTTCAAAAGTGGATGAGAGAGCAAGTTAAAAACAAACTCTGCATTGTTCCCCATTCTTGTAACTCCACCAAAATATCTAGATCTACTTTATGTTTTCAAAAAGCAAAATGCTGCAAGAATTCATCTTGTGCTAAGTATAGATGTTTCTTTTTATTAACAGGTCAGATGCAAGCAATGAAGACATGAGAGATAAATAGAGGATCTATGGGGTTCTTTTACACCCTTTGTCAGTAGGTGAAGAACGAGTTCCTTGGAAAGGAAGAATGATTTGAGGAAGATGAACAGTTCAGCTAAAATATCCTGTATTGACTTTTTTCAGTTTAGTGTCTCTTCCAGGAAAACTGAATGTAGACAACCTAGCACCTCAGGTATGCACACTGATGAATTAAATTTAATCTTGTGACTGGAGAGCATATACAGAAAAAATATTTGTGTTAACAATAAACATCTGCATTCATTTGAGGTTTAGGTGATAATTAGCCATCAGTAAATGCCCCTCTGTTTTTTGGGGGACGCATTTTGAGCAAATGGAAATATTTATTTTCCAGAGAGAGAATAATCAGCACTTCCTGAAATCCATCTACATAAGATATCTACTGATTTTAGATGCCCAGTTTTAGGCATTACCGCCATTTTTTTATATTAAAGTTTGATGTTGGGTTTTTATTATCCATCTCTAATATACTTCTATAAGAGTATTTTATTAAAGATATAAGGATTCAAATGTTCAGTGTATTTGTTACAGATGATTGCAGATGTTTTTAAGAAATTGCTTTTAATGAAATGTTACTAATTGTTTTTGTGATTATGCCATGGTTATATTTGCATTCCCATCAATAAAACTTCAAATATATGACATGCCCTGATTGGGTTTTTTAACTTCAGTATACTCATTAATGGTCTTTATATCGTAGAGATTTTTGGGGTTTTATTTTTATTTGTTTCATTTGGAATGTGTTTATCCATATTCAAGTGGGTATAGCACTGTATATGTAATAAAATGGTATCTCTGTTGCCAAGGGGTTTTTTTTATTAATTGCATGTATTTTTTACACTACCTAATCCACTAGACCTCTCTTCCAGATACTTAAGGAGCATATGAATCACAGGATGGGTCAGACTGGAAGGGACCAGAGTGGGGTCATCTGGCCCCAGCTCCCTGCTCAGGCAGGACCATCCCAGAGCACATGGCACAGCATTGCATCCAGGAGGTTCTGGAATGTTCTCAGTGAGGGGGACTCCACAGCCTCTCTGGACAATCTGTTCCAGTGCATGGTCACTGCACAGGAAAGTTCTTTTCATGTCCAGGTGGAACTTTCTGTGCATCAGTTTCTTGCAAGTTGTTCGAAAACACAGTTAAGGGACAGCTCACTGGTTTACTAGTCATTATTATGAAATATGTTATATACTTCTGTTGTGTATAAAGACTGTTTTACTTTCAAAAATCTATTTAATAAACTTTCTGGCTCCAAAGATGTACCATAGGTAACAAATTAAGAATTTTATTTTTGTTCTGCCACTTCAGGAAAGAGCAGACTGACCCTGGCAGTGCTGAAGACTCAGTGATTACCTGATCCCTGTGGGACATGTAATATGCAGCTCTTGCAAAAGCTTCCCTCCACACCCATTAGCATGTGAGACACACAGATGTTCTGTCAGCATGCCTTCTAGGCCTCACCTCATAGAGGAGTATTTGGACCAAAGGGAGCTGAAATAGGAGAACAGTGTCATGTACTCTCACTTATTAAATAGTTACATTTAACTCCCCTGCTTTGCCAGAATAAAATCTCTCTTTCTTACAGGGTGCTGTGGTTCTTACAGTTCATTTGTCATGGAAGTATTTCTTTGTCTCTTTCTGTTAGCCTTTTGTCAACTCTGAATCTAAGTATCTATACAAAAATCAAATACAAAGGAGGAACAGTAATATATCATTCTGGCAAAAGGACCTGAAATGGGAGAACAGTGTCATGTACTCTCACTTATTAAATAGTTACATTTAACTGCCCTGCTTTGCCAGAATAAAATCTCACTGTAAGAAAACTTTCTTACAGGGTGCTGCGATTCTTACAGTTCAGTTTGTCATGGAAGTATTTTCGTGTCTCTTTCTGTGATACTGTTGGCCTTTTGTCAACTCCGAATCTAAGTATCTATACAAAAATCAAATACAAAGGAGGAACAGTAATATATCATTCTGAGACGTTTTCATCTAAATTGTGGGCAAACAATTTTCAGGTTTACTTTTCTTTGGATAATACAGTAATTAGAATAATGGGTTGAAAGAGACCTTAAAGATCATTAAGTTCCAGCCCTTGCCTTGCTTGGACAATGGATGCCTTCCACCAGACCAGGTTGCTCAGAGCTCCATCCAGCCTGGCCTTGAACAATTCCAGGGGTGGGAGCACTGCATATTCTTTGGGCAATCACTGCCAGTGCCTCACCATGCTCTCAGTAAAGAACTTCTTCTTAATATCTAATATAAAACTATCCTCTTGAAAGTAATATTTGTAAAACTATTCTGCAGTATGTATTTTGTAATTATTGTGGATCACTTATGTGTCTTATTTAAATTAAACATTTAGTTTTAAGTTAACAGTTTCTTTTCTACCAAAGAAAATTTAAATTCTTACATAGAATCTGTCTGCATTTCTGACTTCCTTGAATGGTATGGATCTTGATGGTTTTCTGATAATTTTTGTTTATTTTAAATTACATAAAGTGCTGTATTTATCTTGTGGATTGCCTTTACTGCCTTTACTGTCATGGGAAGCTGTTTGAACCTACTGCTTTGTTCTTCCATCCACAAATCCGAGGGAAATACTCTAATGTATTTTATTGTTTAGCTCTCTAATACGGTTAGTTAGTGCTTTTTAAAACAGCAGTTAGTTTTGTACTTTTATTATTGTTCCTCTTCTAATTTATTTTAAATTACATAAAGTGCTATATTTATCCTTTTTGATTGCCTTTACTGTCATGGGAAGCTGTTTGAACCTACTGCTTTGTTCTTCCATCCACAAATCCGAGGGAAATACTCTAATGTATTTTATTGTTTAGCTCTCTAATACGGTTAGTTAGTGCTTTTTAAAACAGCAGTTAGTTTTGTACTTTTATTATTGTTCCTCTTCTTGATTTTTTTGGTGTTTTATTTTGTTCTGCAACATCTCTCTCTGTTCCTCCCCTGTGGGGCCACTGGTCTGAATAAAGACCTCTTGGAAGGAATAGAAATAAGAAAAGTTCTATTAGTAATATGCTGGATTTTTATTCCCCCCCCCTTATTACTGCTTCAACCATTATGTTATGGTTGAAGTTATGTCTTACTTTTAGAATATTTGTGATCATTCCGTGAACATAAAACCTCCTGAGGACATCTCTGCATGTTCACCTCTCCTTCCCACCTTGGTGTACCGGCATAAGTCAATAACATTCACATGTGCTGGAGCCCTGAATTGCTCTAAAAATGTTGAATTTTGTACAGGGATCATATATTGCACAAAATCCTCATGTGTCTATGCAAAAAGGCTGCTTTGGGGTTGGTTTTTGTGGCTGTCAGACTTCCATGCCATTCTCCCATTACATTTAGGATGTTAAATTAATGAATGAGTTCTATCTGGGTGCTCCAAGACAGGTTGTAGTGACAAGTTCTTTGTGACTGAGGAGCAAAGCAGACAAGGGAATATTCCTTTTTTTGATCCATGTTACTGTGGGTGTGTGCATTAAGTGGTAACTTGAAGGGCAGCAGAGTGACCAAAAGAGACTCAGGGAATTTGGTCTTTATACCCCACTCAGTGTTTTGTGCTGTTGCTTCTATGCACGCTGCCCACCTACATATTTATTAATTTCCTTTAAATATGCCTGGTCAGGCTTAAGACTAGCATTTTCAGCTGAAATATGGTGCAGTTGTTTTCACATACAAAGCATTGCCTTCAAGATCTCTTTACTGAGGAGGGAGCTATCAGGTAAGTGTGTAAATCCTGATTTTCCTAGCTGTGCCTCTCCAGGACTGAGAGCACCAGTCCATGGGAACCCTGTGTTTAACTAGTGCTTGCAGCTGTGCTGAGAGCCTGCGTGGCCTCAACACTCCTGGGCAATTTCACATGAAGCAAGTGCAGTTCTAAGTGTGAGGATGTAAATGTGATGGAGCCTCCTTTTAATCTCAGCCCTCTAACTGTAATTTCCTTGGGGAGTTTTATTTACTAATATGAAAGATAAGCTGCTGTAAAAGACCAGACATAAGAGCTCAGCTTAGTTGTCTGCAGACAGGCATTCTGATGTGGTAATATGTGGAATGGTAACGTTGCACTTTGGAGCTTCTGTAAAACAGCTGTGCAACTGTTTTGGAAAGCAGCTTATCTCTTAGGAGCTTTAAGTAGGAAATATCATTTTGTTGGTAATAAGAAGTAAAAGTAATGCTGATTCAAAATGCTTGTCCTTAAAAGCAAACATATATTAAGCCAAGAAATGGTGTTTAATCTCAAAAGGGGTGGGGCTGGAGTGAGTTTTTTGTTTGTTTTAAGTTTTAGTTGTTTTTAAAGTTTTACTTGGTTGGAAAATCACTCTTTTTATGATTAATTCCTGTCAGCCGTTTATTTTGTTCTTTCTAGCCTGCCTCATTCCCATTTTACAGAAATCCTTACAAATCTTGATCCTGAACTTTTTGGTCTGCTTCTTTTAAATTTAGCTGAGTATTCTCCTAGTGCAACTTTACAGCTCCCTTCCCTGTTGTTTTGGTTTTGGGTGGGTTTTTTTGAGTAACAAAATAGATAATGAGAGAAGGTCACAGAAGACAGCACTAAAAAAGCAAAAAAGGGTACTACCAAGAAAGTCTCCAACTCTCCTCTTTCAGAAGGGTCAGGAAAGTTTGCTTTCAAAGGTTAATTTTATATGCCCTGATCCTTTTTTATTATTTTTCATTGGTTAAATTTAAAGATGCATTGTTACTATGCAAAACTAATATTGTGTGTAATAGCTAATCAGAGTGCAGAGCTCTAAATGCTCTCTTGTAACAAATGCCAAGTGTTTTTAGTAATATTTTGTAACCATCCTTTAGTTCAAGGCTCTGTAGCTCCTGTCACAGTAAGTTACATCAGGGAAGCATCTGTGTTTGTGTGAACCAGCACTTTGTAATTAATTTGCCACTGTTCAGCCAGTTGGATTTACCACTTAATTGGTTGAATTTTCCTGGCCATATGAAATTCTTGCTCTCACAAGTACAGCATGTACGTGATAATGTACTGTTCTCCTTCAGTGCATGGCAGGATCTCACCATGCAAATCAGCCGTGTTTGCTTTTCCCACTCTTCTAATGACAGCATGAAACCCCCTCCCACTACTGTTTTTCAAAATAAATCCTTGAAATGAAAGCTAGGCTCTTAATGTCTGTCTACCATTAAATGATCTTATGTTCTCCAAACTGTTTCCCAGGAGATGAACTTAATTGTATTACAATCATATTACTCAGGCACCAGCTCGAAAGGGGGTGTTTGTAATTTCTCTGGGATTCAGGGAGCACCTTTGAAGAACAGAGTAACTTGTGTAGTAAAGGAAGTGTAAATTTAGCAACTTCATGCTAGGCAGTCTTTGGCAAACAATGTTGTCTTTGAAGATCAGTAAGTGGATTGAAGGCCTAGCAAAATAGTTACTGAACCAAATTTAGTTTGCTGAAGAGTTGCCTAATAGTTCTTAATAAAGTGAAGAAAAGACAGTAAGGAAAGATATAAAAAATCAAGAAAAGTGGGATGTATGGAGGAAACTTCTTTGGGCTGGAATCATGCTGGTGAAAATTAAAGAAACTTAAGCCTCATGAGGCTCAGTGAGGTAACCATGATAAATGATTGAAGTGGATGCTTGGCAATACAGACTAATGAGAGCAGCCCCATCAAACTGCTTTTACAGAGCAAAGAGAGCTGGTGCTGAGAGCCTGATGTCCTGATCTGTGTGGCCTCAGTTTCCCTCAGCCTGAGCCTTTCCAAGGGCTTCTCAGTCCTTGGAGCACACTGTGTACTCTTGGCTTTGAGGTGTAGTTCCATCCAAAAAGAAATCAGTTTGTGACCTCCCAGCCAACTCTGCCATGTAAACAAAAGCAGTGTTAGTGAGGATTATCTTTAAAATACCCTCCTGACCTGAATTAATGCACGAGTGGAGGCATGCCTGTACACACTTAAGAGGGAAACAATCCCAAAGTTTTCAAGCCATGGGGTTGGAACCATGTGAAAGAACAGCAGAACTTGGCAAGAGGCCTCCACACAAGCCAAGGTTCTCCAGGAATAATGCCAATGGATATTTAGGAAAAATACAAGTTTGTAGTATGCTTCACTTGGAACTGGGAAAGCTTATTCCACAAATACAGGATATAACCATGGGACAGGGATTAAGGGGTAACACTTCCAACTTGAAGGAAATGGCATAATGTCACTTGCAAAAAAAGAGGCAGTCATGAGTAAATAATAATAAATATTAAAACTTTATGTCAGTAATAAAAGAGTTGTCTGTCATGCACCACTGCTGTTCTTGGCATCAT